TGCAGCATTTTGCCCACAAATGTACAGTCAATTCACTTTACAGTTTATTCTGTGAAGCGCTCTGAGACGTCGAGAAGACATGGAAAGCACTATATCAAATGCAAGGATTATTATTATTATTATTATCTCTGGATAAAGAAATACTTCCCCATGTCTATCCAAAACATGCCCTTTGTAACCCTGAACCAGTTAGACTAACACACAATATTATGGATAGATGAGATGAAGCCATAACATAGTCCTCATTGTTCAAGGGCTGATAGGCCACCCACTCCTATCAGAAGCAGAGTCTTATCATGCCACTGAGTGGCTGGTTCAGAATAATTACCAACCCTGAGTTGGGAGAAGTTTTGTGCTTGACTCAGAGAAACCAATGGAACAGAAAGAAAGTAATGAAAATAATCTGTAAACAAAGGGGCATTCATACAATCCAAAATGAAAGCAAGGCACCTTAATGATGAGATGCAATTAAAATTGAAGTAGATTCTTAAGTCATGGCTGCCTCCGAATGAATGAATGATTCGTCCAAATGATTCTTAGAATGACAACTGTCTTTCATCCCAACTTGCTGGATCCAATTCTCAAGCAATCACTATATTGGAGGATGGAGATAAGATGGCATGGAGTATGCTGAATCCTCTGAAAGGGGACAGCCAGCAGCAGTAACATGCCACCTAGGGACCAATTCCCACCATATCACAGCAACAGGAAAACATAGATCCACAAACCCTCCTCACTGGCTTCTCTGAAGCACCACATGTAAATAATAATAATCCTTGCATTTGATATAGCGCTTTTCACGTCGGGAGGACATCCCAAAGCGCTTAGAGTCTGCAATGATACTAGGGAACGTGCCAGTCACATGAAACATTCAAAACATACCCACCATTGCAGCTACCTCTGTGACATCTTTGTGAATCATTTAATTTTCCTCCGAGACAAAAAGGATGATATGTGCTTCCACTTTCCACTTGAGGTACAAGAAATATATACAGGTTGCCCAAAAAGTTGTGATACTAATACAATGTCTAATAAGTCTTAAATAATTTTTTTTAAAAATTAGATAACAGAGTAGTTTTCACAACTTTTTGGTCATCCTGTATTATTGGCAGGTTCCAATTATTTCCTATTTCACAAACCTTTGGGAGGAGAAGGGAAGGATAGATTAACTGATGCTTAAGAACTGAACGTTTCGCCTACAAAATACTTACACTTTACAATATATTCTGTGAATCGCTTTGAGATGTCTCAGTGACATGATAAGGCGTTATATCAAATGCAAGGATTACTATTATAACTGGTGAGAGAAACTGTTAGGAAAAGCCCTCACCAGTCAGAGCACTAAGCTGTAATGATCCTGTGTTTACTTGGCTGGATGTAAAAGACTGGGGCTGTAGTTTGGGCTCTAGCATTGGCCTCAGTTCACCTGGGTTGGAGAGGGAAAAATCAACCAGCCACTTTATTCCCCAGAGGTCCCAGGTGTAAGACAGGATTGAACAACCTTACACGATATACTGTTACACTTATTATCATTTAAGTCTGTGTAAAGTGCTTTGAGATGTTGCCCCAAAGTGAAAGGCACTGTATGTAAATGTAAATGGTTGTTTTTTGTTGAGATACCAGAGAGAGCCTGGCACCCAGGAAACTGTACCCCATCAGAAAGGCAGAGAGCCAAATATTTTTAGGAGAAGAGGAGGAGAGGGGAAAATATTGGAGTAAAAAGTCTGGTGAGAGTAATGGGAAGCAAGGGACAAACATGTTTCTTGAATAAATCATTCAACGTAAGGATGTCTTTTAAGATGCAAAATCAAATCCCAGAAAGATCATAAGAAGAATGAGAATATAATTGTACGTAAAGCCAACAGTTTTTAATATTAATAATAATCCTTGCATTTGATATAGCACCTTAACACGATGTTGAAACATCTCTAAGCGCTTCATGGAATATATTGTAAAGTGGATTGACTGTGTATTTGTGAGTGAAAATTGGCAGCCAATGGCACACAGCAATATTCCATCATCCATTGCTGTAATTGCATTAATGATTTCAAAGAAATAGTAAAAATCAAAATCATTTGCAACAGACAATGCTCCACATCACAACCAAAGACACAAAGATCTCTTTCAAACATAGTGTAATTGGCCTCAGAATGCTTACCAAACATTGTAAAGTTATGGAGGAGAGAAACAGAACCTTGTCTGAATCTGAACTGTAGTGGAAAGTGTGAAAACAAGTCAAATTGTCCCATCGAATTGAAAAATGTTCAGAAATCTGCTCGTGCATATCAGACTGTAAAGTCATGAAAAGCACATTTGAAATGTCCTGTGTCCATATTCCTCTGCTGTATTTTACCTTTCACTCTGGAGCAGTTCCAGAGTGAGATTGTGGAACTCACTACCGGAAGCTGCGATTGAAACAAAAAGCATCAATGTATTCATGAGGAAATTTGATGCATGCGTGTGGGAAGGAGGAGGGGAACAGGAGAGGTAGAAGCTCATGTGGAGTAGTTGGGCTGAATAGCATGTTTTTGTGCTGTATCATAGTAGGGCATTTTATGTGAAATCCATACGAATGAATGGTAAAATGAGGTTTTTGCTTCCAAAACTCCCACCCGCATACCACAATTTGATGGAGTTGGAGGAAGGTCTTCACCTGCTTTGTCAGGCCCTGAGAACAAGAGTATAACCCTCAGGGTTAGGGTTAGGGTATAACCTGGCTAAACTTTAGTAACATGTTTGAGTTCAGCACATGTCACGAGCACTTTGTCTCCCTTTTGAACGTGCTCATCACACATATGAGAACCAGTAGTCTTCCCTGAGTTGTCCTTTGGAGCACTTTGAAATCCCTCGACATTCTTTCTGTGAGGATTTCCGGGGCCAGAATCTTTGTAGTTGAGGAGCTGGCCTAAACACAGTTTTAATGCATGTTATGTGCTAATTCCAGCCATCGCTTTGTTATTGACTGCTACTACTGTGACGCACAATGTTCCAGCAATGATTTCAACTACGGCAGCACTGGCAAAAGGATGCCAGAAATTGTGTATTTATGCTTTTCAAATTCATAGTTTCCTTCTTAGATCCATGTTTATTTATAAAGATGCTTGTAGTCAAGGAAACAATGCTGATATATTTACTGGTTTCGAAGAACATGGGAACATTCATTTCATTTGTAGTATTTATCTTGCCCTCCATGAAGTAAATGGTTTTATTTTTCATGTCTGTCTCCAGTGTTCTCTTTGTTCCTTCCATGCCAGGTTTGTAATCCTACTTTATGTGAAGCTTAGGACGTCCTCCTGACGTCAAAGGCGCTACTCAAATATAATTTGTTGTTGTTGACGATTTAAAGGTTCCAGTAGGTTGGCTCTTCTCCCTTTCGGTCTGATGGTTTCTCAACTGTTTGGTGCTCGTTTATATGCTGTTAATCGTAAACTGTTCATTCAGTTAGTGCCAGTGCAGCAGTGAAACTATCTCCTCCGTGTCAATGCTACACTTGCATCTATTTCTGAAGCACCTGTTCCAAAATAATGCTGTAAAGTGCACAATGCGGGAGAACATTTATGATTGATGTCTCCAAATACCTCGTGAGGTCCTGTAGCTCAGTAGTTAGAGCACTCGCTTTACAGGCGAGAGACCTGAGTTCAATTCCAGGCAGAGGGCGAAATCTTTGGCAAGTTTCCTTACTCCACTCGCCTAATAATAATCCCTCCAAAACCAAAAACAATAATAAATTGGTCATTTTCAATCTACGACTGTTTGTGGGACATTGCTGTGCGCAATTGGCTGCTGCGTTTGCCCACAAATATACAGTCAATTCATTTTACAGTGTGTTCTGTCAAGCGCTTTGGGACGTCCTTCTGAAGTGAAAAGCGCTATATCAAATGCAAGAATTATTATTATTATTACCTTGGGAGCTGCACACATTCCTTGAATAGGGTAAATGCTTTCAACCGTTAAAAAACATCTGAATCATATTGTCACGGTGCTGCAAGTATGGTCTAAATGTAACACAGAGCTGGTGGAAAGCCCCAGTTTGCTGTTCAGAATATAATAATAATAATAATCCTTGCATTTGATATAGCGCTTTATTACTTCTTCAAGATGTTCCAAAGTGCTTCACAGAATATACTGTAAAGTAAATTGACTGTATATTTTGTGGGCAAAACACGGCAGCCAATTGCACACAGCAGTGTCCCACGAACAGTCGTGGATTGACGGAACCGAGGTGTTTACTCTGGGGAAGTAAAGCATCAATGAATAACTGAGGAGCAGATCCAATTAGCCGACCTTTTGCTGCATTTTTCAAACAATAAGCTGACGCTTCCTCTATGTATCACAACCAGACACATTTTTTATTGCAGTACACTGTAATCACTGTAATCAAAGTCCTGTAGCTCAGTGGCTAGAGATTCGCCTTGCAAACCTTATGTATTCCTGGGTTTGATTCCCGGCAGGGCGAAATGTTAGGCAAGTTTCCTTACTCCACACGCCTCTGTTTTCCTAGCAGTAATTAGGAACCCGGTTGTTAGTTGATTGGTGGATCGCTTTTCCGTGGGTAATAATTTCTTTAAAAAGATTGGTCACTTCAATCCACGGCGGTTTGTGGGCACAGCTGTGCGCAATTGGCTGCTGCGTTTCATCCACAAAACATACAGTCAATTCACTTTCCAGTATATTCTGTGAAGCAACTTGAAGACATGATAAGGCACTATATCAAATGCAAGGATTATTATTATTTATTATAATATCAGCTCTTCACATAACTGAGCGAAAGTTTGAAGCAGATGCAGATATGCAATTTGTATATATAGGATGCTTGTGCACTTCAAGTAGTTTTTCCAGGATGTGTTGTATGGCATCTGCAAGTTCCAAATTCCACAAACTATTGCAATAGACATCATTGGGATATATGAAAACAGATAAGGAATTTTTCCAAAGTGCAAGGAAACAGCCAAAGTCAAAGATCATGCTGACTGATAGCAGGAAGCGCTCTTCCTTCAAGCGACTGATAAAGATTTGTGGTTTTGCTGGGTCAGGGAACACCTGAGGGTGTTTGCACCAGGTGTAGGCAAGAGAGAACAGCAAACTATCCTTCCTGTCCCCCCAGAGATTAGATTTACAATGTGTGCTTTGACAGTAGCAATATGCTTGAGGGGAGGGTAGGATGGGAGGTACACAATCACTGAAGAGTAACACAGTTATCCATAACATTCCCACTCCAAGTTTATTGTGTGATTACTCAAAGTCATGGAATAAATAAAAGCCAAACATTAAAATATACAAAGTAAAGGAAATAATTCTAAACCTATGTAAACTCCAAACTTTTCACTGCTATTGGCTACTTTAAAGTCCCATCAGAAATGAACATTCAAAAATGTAAGAAGGTCAAAATGCAGGAACTGTGTTTATAACTGTTGATCACTATGAGTAAGGAAGGGAATCCAGATCTACTTTAGATAGCAGCATCCCTACAATTATACAGCTTCAAGATAAAAAATAATCAATAAATGCAGGTCATCAAGGAACTATGCGTGATTTTTCTGCTTATGGTTGTGAAAGGTATTCCACTGAAAATCTCTTTTAAGTATTTGGTTCTTGCAATGTATTTACGTATAAATGTTCTGCAAAAGAAAAGTGTCGAAATCTCGGGCAAATAGAGCTTTCAAAAGAAAGAGATCACATACATTGTATATGATAAATTATAAAACCTAACTACAAGTTTTCACAGATTGAAAAGTCTGCTTAAATATCTTCTTTCTAAAATGTGAATTTACATATAAAGTACAAAGTGCAAATACTATATTGTTATTGCTTTGTTTTTGCTGCAGTTGGCTCCTTTAAGCCACAGTTGTTGGGTGTGGATCAGGGATGTTGACAGGTCTCAACCTTGCTTCTTTGATGATTGCTGTGGGGAGAAAAGTGTAGAAACATCAGATGCCATGTCTCTGATGAAATTACAGTCAATGGTAAGTTCAGAAATATTCCTGTCATTTGTATCTCCATCTTCCAGAACAGAAATGGTCCCACAAACATGGCTGTTTGTGGTAATCTGCTTGCACACTGGCTGTCTCGTTCAACCACAAAATGCAGTCACTACACTTTACAGTAAATCCATGAGTTGTCCTCCCAATGTGAAAGATACCATATTAAATTATTAGCAAGCATTAATATTATTATTATAAAACGATTCATTTGACTATTTGCAGTTTTTTTACATAGTCACATAGAAAAGTCTCAAATCCAAATTGGTGAAACTGATTATTTAAAATGATTTCCATCTCAATGTTTAAATTCACGTTGATTATTTTTTTAAATGTTGTCGTGTTCACACAAAGACAAAGTCAGAATAGCTAATGCTGTCTTTCTGTCAAAAATGCCCAAAGGATGGATGTCTGAGCTGTCACTCTGGCAGTCGGCCATTTCTCGCACGCTATCTTCTCTGTGTGTATGTTGTATATTAAGGTGAAATAAGCTAGTTTAAAAGTGGATTTTTCCACATAGTGGGTGGTTATGGATGAGCTTTCATATTAAGTCAGTCTTTGAATTAGTCCCATTGAAATCTGGAAACTTTGACTCTGAAACCTAAATGTAAAATGGGCCAATGTGTGAGCAGGGAGAGCCCGGAGAGCCTCTCTGGATCAATACTGAACTCACTCAGATGCAGCCTCTGTCAGCCGCATTATCAGGGAGCGCCAATGCAGTTCTTCCCTCTGAACTGGCAGGAAGCTAAGGATCAGCAGTCCTGCCACAAGACCAGCTAAAGATCCTGATGAAATGTGTCCACTTATCACCCTCCCCCAGTAGCACAGAGACAATCCTCACCTGCATTAAACCGCATGGGAACTCGGACAAAAAAATCTAAATTGATTCGTGGACCATCCACTGGGCAGCTTGGCTCTGCCTTGGCATCTATTCAAGCATCAGTACACTAAGAGTGGAGTGGTGGAGTGCACTGGATTACTGATCTTAGCTGTGACACTGGCTCTGGGAAGTTTCACACCGTCCATGGAGGACCCGTGCCTCCCATTGTTACTTTCCACGTGCAATACCTTGCAGGTGTCCGTACTGAACTTTATTTGCCAGACATCAGTTTAGATGTACTTCCTATCTTGGCTTCCTCCTCTGATTGCACAGTTCCCCCTTATTTGGTGACATCTGAAAATATGACTACTGTACCTAAATAATAATTCTTGCACTTGATACAGTGCTGTTCATGTTGAAAGCGCTTCACAGGATTTATTGTAAAGCATAGTAACTGTATTTTGTAGGCTAATGCAGCAGCCAATTTGCAATGCCCCACAAATGTCTATGAAGTAAATAACCTATTTTATTTGGGGGATTGCAGGTTACGATACCAGGAGAAACTGCTTTCTCATTTTGAATAACATCTTATCTGAAGAACGCCACCTCAAACAATGCAGCGCTTTCCACAGCACTGGTGGCTGCCGTGTTTCGCCCACAAAATATAGTCCATTCAGTTTACAGTATATTCTGTGAAGCGCCTTGAGACATCTCAACGACTTGATAAGGTGCTATATCAAATGCAATGATTATGATGATGATTATTATTATTATTATTATTATATTGCCTAGCCTATGAGTTCAAAGTCCTGAGGTGGGTATTGAAACCCACAACCTTCTGACTCAGGCATCACTGCTACTAATTGAGTCTGTGAATCCAGGTCTTTATGCACACAAGGGGTCTGAGTGTAAACTCCTGAGACATACCACTGAATATCTCCCCCCATTTCAACCTAGACATTGCAGTATATAAAATATTAACTCAAGCACTTGCGTTTTAGTTTGAGATGACTATAAAGGTGAAGCTAGTATTTATTTTCAGATGAATATTGAGGCCTATTCTTCAAAGCTGCAGCTTAACTAATACATTAATTGTTGCTGCAATAAAGTGTGGATAGAAAAATAATCATAGGATTTAGTGTAAAAGAGGGAACAAGTAGATATTCACAAACCTGTTTGGCTGCTGAAGTGCCTGCATAGTTGGGTTTGGGAGCTACAGAAACACAAACAAATTCTGATCACTAACAGGATCATTCCAAACAGATCAAAACCATATGTCTGGCCAAAAACTATCACTATCATCCCTTTACTTGGCGATCTGTTCTATGGCCGTGAGAAATGCGATGCGCAATATGGATAATTGTCACCGGTGAGAATTATCACATTAGGCATTGTGTTTTTCACCCTTTAACAGCTAGACGAAAGGCAACAGAAAAAGAAGAATGTTCAACGAAGGTTAAAAATAATTTCCTTTATTTTACCACATGGTTTTAGTATTATACAGTGCAGCCCCGTTATTATGATGCGCGTACGCAGCACAAGGAAGTGATGTCAGCGGTGACCTGATCACCTGGAACTCGATCGTTTTTAAGTCAGTCCACTGTGGGCACTGACAATTGTGGCCATTTTATAAGGTGGGTTCAAATTTTATGGGCACCCACAACTGCCTTACAGCAAGGCCCCAGTATATATACTGAACTTTCCATTGCTTTGATCCTTACCGTCTTCCTTAGTTACTCCAAGGCAGCCCATTAGCTCCTGGATTGATAGGGATTTGTCAGAATTCTGGTCACAATATTCGATAAATCGCTTTGAGCACTTCCTCGGTTTAGATTTTTTGCGCAGAAACTTCTTGAAGGGTTTGATTTCCTTTTTCCCAATGTCACCATTTGAGTTTTTGTCCAATTGTTTGAAGTACCAGTGAACCACTCTTTCTTCAAGCGTATGACTGGGGTTTGGTTCTGACATTCTGGAGAGAAAAAGATCAGTTGTGAAACTCATTCATTAATCTCTAAAACCAACAAAGATCCTGATGGTCATCAGAGTTTAAGGCATGGTTATGTCACCAGGCTTCCTTACAAGACAGTTCTAAAGTTAAGAAAATTAATTAAACCTCCAAAAAAAATCCTGAAATTTTATATAGTGCCTATAATGTCAAAATGCTTGATAGTGCTTCATGGTGAATTGCTGTCAATACAATTTACATTTACACAGTGTCTTTCACCATGAAAATGAGGATATTCCAAAGTGCATTCATAGTGCTGAATGGGCACCCGAGCTGGGGGAGGGAGTTGAGGGGGTCAGGAGGGAAAGATGATCAAAGGCTCAGTCAAAGAGGTAGGCTTTGAGATATGTCTTGAAAGAAGGGAGGGAGGAAGCGAGTTGGAAGGACTTTATGCTGGAGTTTCAGCGAATGAGACCAGAATGGCTGAAAGCTTGCCTGGCGATGGCGGGGAGGATAGGGCCGGAGATATGAAGCAGGCCAGTGCCGCCTCAAGTGACTGTTTATTTGTAGGCAAACACGATAATCAATTTGTGCAAAGGAAAGTTCAACAAATGGCCATGAAGACATAAAGCTCTTACTTAAATCAGTGGTGGCCAATCTTTTTGGTTGTCCAACAGAATAAATTTTCTCGATTGAATAATTCTTAATTCATGCCATCAACCAAGAAATATCCAATCAAAAAAGACCTGGAAACACATTATCAATAAAACATGGATTTATCTAGACTAGTGCAGATGCTTGGGGGGGGGGTGCTGCTTCTTGACACAGGCCGGAACTGGCCCATGGGCCATAGTTTGGCCAGCACTGACTTAAATGAATCCTGAATCCTGGCCTGACCACTCTTTATGGGAACCTGTTAGAACACTTGTAAGGGAACACTTCCTGTCCTAAATTTACCCTTCGTGACCCTGACCCCGTCCTTCTAGTCCTGCAATCTTGACATTTAGCACTTTTACCAAAAGCAAGGCCATAATGTCAACGTGACTTTACCAGCATGGCACGGTTGCCTGGATGATGTGTTTCTGTGCTGAAACATGACTGCTCACTGATTTCAGAATTTAAATACAGAAAGTTGCAGTTGGAAATGCACAGCTCGGTTGATTGTCATCAGAACATAGTTGTAGAGTCCACCGCATAACACGCTTCTGTTATAAGTCAGCAGATTTATATTCGGTGGCAAAACATCCCATCTTAGCCATGGCACACACAAGCTATGTGAGTTAAATGCAGCAAGTGAATTGAACTTTCCTAATATCAGCTTTCAGTTTAGTGCATGCCAGATTTACAAAGGAGCCGCTAGGTATTATTATCTCATTAACAGTGAATATATTCAATATGAATCTTTTACATTACAATGAGTACATTTTTCTACCACCCGTAATCTGCAGAATCTATAAACTATTTTGCTTTCTGACATCTCATTATTGCTTTTGATTTAGCCAGGGCTGAATGGAGGTCATTGTAAATCAATTTACACGAGACGCTATTTTTCTTTAGATCTTTGGACCAGTTGGCCAGCTATTCATGGTTGTTATTTCCACAGCACAAAGATGCAGTATCTGGTTCAGCAAACTATTTTGCTGGAGCATTGCCTCTAGGTCATTGTAATTGTTTAATAACCCACCTGCTAGCAGAAGAGGATGGATCAGACACTGCATGCACCATATCTGTTGACAATGCATCCAGCACACTGGTAAGAAACTCATTTCTCTTTGCCCCGGGACACCCTAAACGGGAAACAAAAAACACAAAAGAGGTGTCAAAGAGAACCTTTCATCAAGATGCAAGAACGGGGTTCAGAGTTCATTTTGTTAATCAAAGAGGTGATTTTAATGGTTACATGGTTATCACATCACACCAGCAGAGTGACACTGTAAGCTAAACTGCTACCAATAACATGAAGTTGGGTTTCAACTTATCCTCAAGTAACATACCCGAAGCACACAAGATGAACGTTAACATTAAAAGGGAATTGGGGATTAATTGGATAGGGTTCATTAGTATGTGGAGATTCCATCTGGTGATCAAGAGTGCATAACACTGACCTGTTGTACTCCAAAACAAGAGACGCATGGCTTAGGCTGACACACTTAGACCCCATTTCAAAATGCTCCGAAAAAGATTTGTTGGGAATACATTGAGCAACCTTGTTATTTTGGATTCATTCCAACTGCAGAGGGCTGCTTGGCCCCAAGGAAGAGGGAGGATTCATCAATCAGTATTATCCTATTACACTTTACAATAGCCCCTTAAGGCTACCTGATGGACCTCTGAATGATCTGCCTTGGGACATTATCACTTAATGAGCACATGGATACAAAAATATGGTCTGTAGATACCAGCTGATCTCAAGTTCCATGTTTTTTTCTACTGAACAACTCATGCATTTAACTGTGTGCCCTGTTGTACCTCAGCTACTTTAGAAAACATCCACTATCCAACCGAACAAGCAAATGATCTGCTAAAGTCAGAGGAGTATAGGATCCTGGCAATGTACAGGACCAGAAAAGACTATTGTAATCCGTCTCGTTTGTTCCAAACAGTTTGTTGCCAACTCACTTCTCAAAGATCATGTGTTAAGGGACTGGCTGGCATTTAGATAATAATAATAATCCTTACATTTGATATAGCAACTTTCTTGTCATGGAGCCATCTGAAAACACTTTACATGATCTACTGTAAAGTGAAGTGACTATTTTTTGTAGGCAAACACGATGCACTGTAATTTCCCACAAACATCCTTGAAGTGAATATCCAATTTTATCAACAAATTACAAGACATTAATAAACTTGCTGAATGGGCATTTAAATGGCAAATGCATTTCAATGTAGAAAAGTGTGAGATGGTACATTTTGGTTGAAGGAATAAGGAAGTCACACACATCATGGAAAATACAAACCTAAATGGGGTAGAAGAGCAAAGGGATCTAGGGAACACATACATAATTCACTAAAAGTAGCAACGCAGTTTAATAAGGCCATAAAAAAGTAAACCAGACATTGGGGTTCATTTCTAGAGGGATAGAAATGAAAAGCAGGGAAGTTATGGTAAACCTCTATAGAACCTTGGTTAGACCACACTTAATACTGTGTGCAGTTCTGGTCCCCGCATTATAGAAGGAATGTAGAGGCACTGGACAGGGTGCAAAGGAGATTCACAAGGATGATCCCAGAACTGAGAGGTTATACCTATCAGGAAAGGCTGAATATGTTTGGACTCTTTTCTCTTTAAAAGAGAAGGGTTAGGGGTGACCTGATAGAGGTCTTTAAAATGATGAAAGGTTTTGATAGGGTAGACATAGGGAAGATGTTTCCACTTGTGGAAGAGAGCAAAACCAGGGGCCATCAATATAAATAGTCACAAATAGATCAAATAGGAAAGTTAGAAGAAATTTATTTACACAGAGAGTAGTGGGAATGTGGAACATGTTACCACAAGGAGTTGTTAAGGCAAATAGCATAGATGTATTTAAGGGGAAGCTATATGGGTACATGAGGAAGAAAGGAATAGAAGGTTATGCTTGAAGGCTTAGTTGAGGAAGGGCAGGAGGAGGCCCATGTGTAGCATAAACACCGGCATAGACCAGTTGGGCCGAATGGCCTGTTTCTGTGCTGTATATTCTAATGTATTCTTATGTATCTAGGGGAATTGTTGTCCAGGACACCAGGAGAAACACCTTCTCTTTTCGAACAGTGCTATGGGATCTTTAATGTCCACCTGAACAAGCAAATGGGCCCTCGATTTAACATCTCATCTGAAGGACGACACCTCCAACAATGCAGTGCTCCCCCAGCACTGAATTGCAGCATCAACATAGACAATGCGAGTTCAAAGTTCCATTGTGAGGCTTAAACCCACAACCTTATGACTCAGGCGAGAGTGGTACCCAATTGAGCCAGGCTGATCATGCTTTTATTCGCCCTCTGGAATCTGGGTTTGAATCCAGCCCAGACTGAAGCCTCCTCTTTATAATGTTTATAAACAGAGGCACTGACTAAATGAAACATTTTTGAAAATAAGCCAAAGGTTTGCCCAACGCATAGTATGATCGTAGAAAGCCTGTCACAGTGCATCATCCTGTCAACGTAGTGCGTCATCTGGCTGGTGAAATTGATATGCAGCTTTTCCCTCTCACTAAATCAAGAAAATATTTTTTCCAAAAACATTAACAGTTTCTTCGTCAACCATAGATTCTGGCAGTGAGTCTCTCACCCTCTGTGTGAAGAAGTTCCTCCTGAATTCTCTTTCTGATCTGCCAGTGGCTATCTTATATTTATGCCCCCTTGTTTTGGATTCACCAACAAATAGAAACGGCTTAGTAATATCCAACTTATTGAATCCTAAGATAATCTTAAACAACTTGATCAGATCCTCTCTCAATTATTCCAGCTCCAGAGATAAGAGCTCTAACCTGTCCAGTCTTTTTTGACATTGAACAAAGAAACCAAAGACTCATTTAAGAACAATAACGGTCTATAATACCATCTTTTAGCACAGACACACAAAATCTACTTCCTCCCTCCCTCCCTTCACCACACAAGATGCCACACCCTTCATGGAAAATACCCCGACACCCACCCCACAGAAATCATTCCCTCTTTGATCGCACTTTCAGTCATATTTCCCCTCTCCATCCCCTCTTTTCAGGTTCCACCCTACAGCTCAGCCAGCAGTGTCAAGCACTTTGAGACATCCTCCAGATGTGAAAGGCATTATACAAATATACATTTTTTTAATGTACGGTATTCATGGAGTGTATTTGAGAAGGTACATATCTAGTTCCTTTTTAGGATCAATGCTGCATTGACAGCTTTTGTTAGACGTCTGTTGCATATAACCACTACTCTGTGGATAGATCTCTTGTTAAGCTCGAGGCCTTTGAATTTAAAGCTAGCTGTGCTGTTACGGTCAATAATCAAATGACCTGTTGACATCTTACGCAATCAAAAGTGGTTAATTGCAAAATTATGTATGTATTTAAATATGTTTAGCCCATGTTTAGTAGCCCAACCCCCAATTTCGATCCTATTGTCTCTTTTGTTTTTGAAACACTAAGAGGGATCATGTTCTCCCCTCTTCTTTTGTCTAATAATAATGTATTCAGCTCTGTGAAATGCTGCTCATGACTTGAATCCTGATTCAGCCTTGTTACTTTTCTCTGAATCCTTCCAATACTTTAATGACATTTGAAGGTAAGGTGTCCAAATGCCTCACTACACTCGGTCATCAAATTTCTCCTTAAATCTATTTAATATTTAATACATAAATAGCATATAATAATCCATGCATATATGATACAGTACCTTATCATATTGAAATGTCTCAAATGCATTTCTGTAAAGTGTAGTGACTATGTATTTGTAGACACATGCAGCGGCCAATTTGCGCACAACAATATCCTGGCATGAAGTGAATGATTATTTTTATTTGAGGGATTGTCGGTCATATCCCTCTATTCCTGCCAGATGTTTGAAAATTAGTGCATCATTTTTAAACATCTGAAAGGAATAGAGGAGTATATGAGTATGGATTTAGGAGAGGTGAAGGCTAATGTGGTGTATACACGGGCACTGGCATAGATTAGTGGGTCAAGCAGCCTGTTTCCATTAAATAATTCATATTCAAAGATCTGAAACTATTTGTAATTAAATGTTATCTCATGTTATATTGGTTGGGATGAAATCTGGTAAGTGTTACCTGTGGCATCTTTGGCAAAGTGCAATTATAATGCAGGGTAGGTACCCAATAAGGGCAGCCCATCCCAAAGGCTCTACATGTAACACCAACTGGATTTACAGCCCAACAATGTATATTTTCCAGGATTCAACACAATCTAAGAGTAAATTGAATCACAAAAGCCAAAGTGCTTGGAGAACAATATAAATGTTACCTTTATACCGCAATTTACACGAAAAGAAGACAGCTTAAAATGATTCACAAAGCCAAGTGGAAGCCCAAGCGATGGGTTTGGGGGAAAGGAAAGGTAACCAAAAGCGCAATCAAAAATATAGGTCTTAATTGGGGCTGGAGAGAGGGATAGGGCGAGGTAGGCCAACTCTGGTAGGAGTTCCACAACTCTTCTACACTAGAATTTCACCCACTTGGATGCTCATTACTGACATGTTGTTTTAATAATAAGACTTACATTTGGTGTAAGGATTTTCATGTCAAGAGGACATCCCAAAGCACTTCACAGGATATACTGTAAAGTGTAGGGACAATGTATTTTGTGGGCAAATGCGGCAGCCAATTGTGCACTGTAATGCCCCACAAACAACAACAAGATTACATTTGTATAGTGCCTTTTACGTCGGGAGGACGTCCCAAGGCACTGGAACAGTCATGGAGTGAACGATCAATTCCATTTTGGGCAACTGTTGGCCAGGACAGTGGGAGATACTCCCTTCTCTTTTGAAATAGTGCCATGACCACCTGAACAGGCCAACAAGACCTCTGTTTAACATATCATTTGAAGGACGGCACCTCCAACAACGCAGTATTAGGACACTAATTACCAATTACTAATTACTAATTACCAACACTGTATTAGAAACTCAGCCTAGACTATATGACCTAGTTGTTGTTGTATATGAGTTCCAAGTCCCAATGTGGGGCTTAAACCTAAAAACATCTGATTCAGAGGCAAGATTGCTACCAACCGTGTTGGAATGCAGGTTTATTGTAATGAGTTCACCCTGAGAAGTCTTGAAGAGGTGAAGCTATGAATTGCTCACAGTTTCCACGTGCCAAATTTCAGCACAAGTTCTTTTTTTTTTTACAGCTGCTTATATTGTAGGGCATTTCACAGGCTCCATAAATTACTTCTTATAAATTGAAAGGTTAAACCACATGTACTTACACTGCAGGTATAGAGTTGTCATACAGAATTAAATGTTTACCTTCAGCATATTTCAAGCCACAAATATGTCCTCCTTTCATAGAGGTAATGCGCTTCAGAAAACGAATGGCAACAGATCCCACACACATGGTAAGCACAAAAACCTTGTTTCAGTGGAAGGACCCAAAGAACTTACTTGTATTTTGTATTAAGTTAAATCTTCGATTCTTTAGAGTGTTCCCATCCTGCTTCCAACAGCACTAAACTATCAGAACTTAATTTTACCGAGAGGTAGTGTCTCAACAACGTGTCAACTAAGTGGAAGTTCATCAGTATCAACATTATGAAACAGCAAGGATCTCTTCTGCTTCATAAACTTGATAAAACAAACATTTTAGATGTTTTCTCTGGATTATTGCTGAGTAAAACTAAGAATGCTGAGTAGAACTAAGAATCTTTGATATAAAACTAAGAATGCATTTTAACATAGGGTTCATATTTGCCATATCTGTTAACTGATTTCTTAAAAAGAGAAGCAATGCTTTTTCCAACACATTTGATGTTTGAGAAATCCAATAACAACTTGCAGTTACATAGCTCACGTCACATAGTCTCAAACGTTTTATAGAGATAGAGTGGGAACCCGAGCAGGGTGGGAAATCAGGTAGGAATAGAAGGGAGATTACTGAAGGCACAGTTAAGGAGGTAGGTTTCAAATGAGTTCTAAAAGTGGCGAGAGAGGGAGGGAGCGAGGCAGAGGGATTTAGGAGAGTTCCACACCGTGGGAAACTATGAAGAAAGTTGTTAAGAAATACTGCAAAATAGTTACCATTATAGTGCTTTAAATACTGTACCTACATGGTACTGCAGTTTTTCCAAAACATAAACCTATAGTAAAAGTTTGTTTCTCAAACTTGGATAAATGGTGCACATGTGCAGCTGCTATATTTAGAAAGTGTATTTTCCACAGGAGGAACCCTTGGGCTTCTCAACTACAGAATAGGCTATGGTTGCAGCCAGCTCTGGTCACCAATGTACACTGCACATATCATTACAAATAAGGGATTTCCTTTGCTGCTTTCTCACTTTAAGTCCGCAGCGTTGAAGCTGAGCTGATTTTCGGCCTCAGCACAACTAATAAATATACACGGCCTCTACATATTACAGTAAATCCTTTGAGAAGTGCTTTGAGACGTCCTTCCGATGTTAAAGAAACTATATCAAATGCAACAATTATTATTGGATCTCTGGCTTGGTCTTCAACTGTTTGTTTATGGTATACCAGCTTTTTAAGTGTTTTAATTACTACAATAGTTTATCTACTCCAAACTAGCAGGCAGACAGCATCTCTGATAATGCAACACTGCCCCAGTAATACAATGGAGATTTGAGTTCAAGTCCTGACATGGGGTTTAGAACCCACAACCTCCTAACTCAGTGGCAAAACTGATGAAACGTTTCCTCAGTTGGCACAGTTGAAGATAGACAGTAGAGAAACCACAGGCTTAAGACCCAAAAGCAGATGTACAGGGCTGCTGAATCAGAGGCTGGAAAATTTCACCTAGTCTTAGCCTAAAGACTGTTTTGAAGTATTATCTTTAGTCTGTAGAATTGTGAAACATTCTTAAATTCACTCTTATTTTGATCACTGGCCCTTTTAAATAAATCTGTGGAATTCACTTCCCACTAGATGGTACACACGAATTACCAGGTGGGACCGACTGACCACCAGTCAGGACCTAATAAGCACTAGATGGGGAATGCTCACCCACCTTGATCTGTAAAAACACTAATTATTAGAATATAACTTGTACCATCTCCGACTCATGACCACCTCCGCATCAACTCCGCACCCGCCCCCCCCCACCTTTCTGAGTTGCCCTTATAAGGATTATTTCAGTCTATCTTGAGTGAATGAAGGCAAAAGATAGAAAGCAAAATAACTTTTTAGCTTTCGAGAAAAGGTGTTTGAGTCACAGCAGTTTCAATATGAAGAGGCAATAACATTAGGTTACTATAGCTCCACCATGGCATGTTGAAACTTGGCTACATGGTGCTGCAGTTAAACTGTAACAATTAACCAGTGTACAGTGTTCAATGAACAAAGTATCGTAGTTTCATAATATGAGACAGCAGAAGCTAATGGGAGAATTATTTTAGTAAAAGGGTGATAGGCAAGTGGAACAGATTACCAAGTCAGGAGGTAGAACAAGGAACTATTATAAAAGGTTTCAAAAAGGAATTAGGCAAGTTTCAGGAGATGAAAAGGATTCAGGATGAGTCAGAGGAACCTTTTAGTAAGATACATGAATAGATTAGATGGGCCATTGGTCCACTCTTGCCTTAAACTATTACCATCGAACTAAAATGTCAGTATTATATTTTTATTATTTAAAGTTTTTTTTTGCAATAACAACAAGTCATTGAACACAGGTTCAGGGTATGTTGCTGACCTGAGAGTAACCGGTCTTTGTACAGATTCTTGTGCTTCACTGGCTGGGCTCTGGCATTGATGTCGCATTTCGGCAGCTGATGTCTGTAAGAAAGTGTAAAGGTTAGAATATTTACAAGACATTCAATGCTTCTGAAACAGGCATTTGGCATCATTGTCTTTGTGTGATCGGTAAGTGTTGGATTGCATTGGGGTTTGGAGAAGATTCAAAGGAAACAAAGGATGGAGGTTGGAGAAGATACAAGTGTAGTGAATGAATAGTGAATAACACAATATACTGTATTACACAAACTAGAAAATAAATCAGATACTCAAAGAGGAAAGTCTTGAAATGGGTCTTGAAGGAAGCAAGGGAGGGGGCGAGGCGGAGGGACTGTGGGATGGAGTTCCAGAGAGCGGAGGCACAGTGGCTGAAGGCCCGCCCGCCAATGGTGGGCGGGCGAGGTGGAGGACATGAAGCATTCCAGAGTCCGCTGAGCATAGGATACGAGCAGGTTGGTAGGGAGTTAGGAGGTCGCAGAGGTAGAGGGGGAGCAAGGCAATGGAGGGCTTTGAAGGTGAGGACCAGCATCTTCATCTGTATTCTCTGTGTGATGGGAAGCCAGTCGAGTCGGGCGAGGATAACGGTGATAAGGTCACGGAGCTTGGTGCGGTAGAGGACACTGGCTGCAGATTTCTGGATGATCTGCATATGGAGGCACGGAAACCTGATTGGGGGGGTTCATGAAGGGAGTGGCAGGAAAGGAAGGAGCGAACCTGGGAAGCAACGACTTGTTCCAGGACCTTGGAAAGAAAAGGGAGGTTGGATATGGGGCAATAGTTTGAGAGCCTTGCGGCGAGAATGGGGGATAGGGAGTGGCTGCTGTTGGACAGCCAGTGGCGTCTGCCATGGTGGGCCCGACAGAGGATTCGCAGGCTGGAGCCTGTGGGAAAGTCCAGCAGGGATAGGAGTCGGGTAGGGTGGTGTGAGAAGAGGAACGACTGGGAGCAGTGGAGGGTAGAGGACAGACGTAGGAGCATTTTGGGGAAACAGCTTGGGTCAGTGGAGTACCCAAAAGGCGCACGTGTGACAAGAGTGAACGGTGGGGTGGGGCGGGGGGGCTGGGTGACGGGGGCAATGAGGCATGGTTAGCCCGCAAGTGTGGATTATCATGGGGAGGGTTTGACAATGTTATAGTCCCAGTGAGTCTAGGCTCAGAAATTCATTCTTGCTTCATTTCTGATCAGTATGTTTTCTAAAGTGCTACAAGATGTTTAATCTTTATGTGAAATGCTCAATATAAATGCAAGTTATAATTCTTATTATATTCTGCAGCAAAACATGATTATCACTTATAAGTAAAAATATAATCCTTGCATTGATATAACATCTTTCACCTGGGGAGGTGTCTCAAAATCACTCACAGGATATGCTGTAAGGTAGTGACTGTATTTTGTTGGCAAATGCAGCACAGGAGTGCAGCAGCTAGTTTGTGCACAGCAATGTCCCACACACTATGAAGTATTTTATCTATGAGATGGTTGGCCAGGGCACCAAGAGAAACTCCCTCCTCTTTTTTAATAGTGCCGTGGGATCCTTAACTCCTTAACCACCTGAACTGGCAGATGGGACCTCGGTTTGTCTCATCCAACAGACGGCACCTCCAGCAATGTAGTACATCCCCAGGACTGCATCAGAGTGTCAGCCTAGAATATATGAATTCAAAGTCCCGAAATTGGGCTTGAACCCGCAACCTTCCAACTGAGAGGCGAGAGAGCTATGAGTCAAGCTGACAAAGTAGAAGTAATACATTTCACAGGCAGCAGAGCACAACAAATATTTACAGAACATTCATTGCACCTTATGGTAAAATCCTATGGAGCACTTTGAGATATTTTAATGATGTAATCAGGTCCTATATCAATGCAAGGAGTATTGTTTATTTTTTAGGGAATTGCATTGCAATTTAACGCAAACTAATTAAATTGAACTACAGGAGAAAAGCATATCGGCCCAGCAGTGACTTTTCCTGCTTCCTGGAATAAAACAACTGAAGAAAGCCAAGACATGTAAACAAGCAAAAGGAAAGATCATTTTTTGGAAACAATATATTTTGGGTTAATCCCAGAGAACTGTATTGGGGATAATTCTCTGCAGCTCTCTTGCACAGGGGAGCCAGGAAGAAACAACAAATCTCAGTTGGATCAACCATGCTGGAAAAGGAACCAGCAGTTGACTGGTTGAAAAAGGTCAGAATAATCAGAACTGAAGAAGAGATAAGTTTAACAGGGTGCAACCCCGAAGTTCGATAAATACCTATTTGCATTACTTGTGTCAGAATGACCCCCAGAATTATATTACCGCTACGCAAAGTTGCAACACAAACTGTTAAAAATGTTTCGACATACGTCCTTGCGGTAATTTTAAGATTATGCTAAGTAATCTTGCGGAGAATAATGTGCCTTAGGAGCTGGAATGATAGAAGCAGCTTTGATGTGCTGAGTAGGACTGGCTTGTGATGGTTGATGGATGACCTCAATGTTGTGCCAAGAAAAAGAAGCAAGGATCTCCAAGATGTGTGCTCTAATGCACTGCCTGGAACTCTGCCTGGCCTGTCATTAATCTGATACCCTAATTGTAAATTCCCTGAGTGAATATTCATGCATGTTCTGACTGATCTCCTCAAAGTCCTGCTGGCATTCCTTGTGTGGTTGTTGGATTGTTATTTGTTTAGCAGTCCCTCTGTAGCTACAATTGTATACCTATTCGGTCGTGTTTACAATTCACCACATTTCAATGCAAAATAATTAAATTGAACTACGTAGAGCATCACCACATCGAAATAGGCCTTTCAGCCCAACTAGTCCGGTGTTTATACTCCATACACTCCTCCATCCCTGCTATTCCCCTCATATGCCCCTCTATGAAGGGTGCGATATAAATGCCAGTTGTAGCCTGACATTGTTCTGCAAACGTAAATAAAGCAAGTACCGTGTGGAGGTTCCTGGGATTGGGCGGCCAGTGTCAATCAGAACACACCAACAGTATTCAGTCGAGGGGTGGCACTGGATGGGTTTATAAAGACCTCCACTGGCGCATTCTGGAATAAAAATAGCCTCGTTCCTATGCCTTTTCGCATCTTCCAAAGCTGATCGATGTTCCTGGTCACATGACGAGGCTGCAAATCAGATATGAGAATGAGGAAGATGAGAAGCGCCGATAACAACAGTTACTGCAAATAAAACATCCACTATCCCTCCCCCAAGACATGATCTGGTGCATTGTTAAATTGTATCATTTTCTTCACTGTTTTTTGTTACAACCACTGCAACTGTGGAAAGTCTAATTCATGATATTTCAACTGGAATTCTAACACATTTCCTGATTAATGAATTAAAATTGATGCTGCATATGTGATTATTTTCATTTAAACCATTTAGGGAAATTAAGCGATTAAATCTGATAAAGTATGAGGTACTGTCTGGGATTCTACAACTGATGGGTCTCTCCACCCTTCCTATTCCCCTCTTCTACACCTCTCCATTCCCTTCCTCCTCATCCATGCATTGTTTCCTCTTAAATGTGTTGATGCTTTCTGCTTCAGCAACAGCTTCTGGCAGCGAGTTCCACATTCTCGCCAACCTCTAAGTGAAGTTCTTCCTAAACCCCTTTTTAGATCTACTTGTGGTTATCTTATATTTAAGGTCCCTTTTGTTGGACTTACTACAAAATGGAACCAGCCATGCCTTAAAAAAGACACAAAGTGAAAACTAAGTGTTTTGCCTCAGGAATTCACTGGAAAGAGTTAGTAACCTACTCTTTGATTGTATCTTCAGACATCTTCCTCCTACCCCCTCCTATCCTGTCTCCCACTCTGCTCAAGCTTTCACTCTATCTCTGTAAAGCTTTAAAGAGAAATGTAACCATATAAAAAATACTATACAAGTTGCTAAAGAGAATTAACCTCAAATTATGGCCCATGTTTCTGAGTAGTGAATTGGAAGTGCCCAATCTGAATCCCAGTCGGTGCCGAGTTTGCTGAGGGGCTACATGAGAGGACTAGACTGGCCTTGGCCTTCCCTGGTTCAGCTATGATACTCTCTAAGATCAAGTGGCCAGCTGACACTCATTGCCAAGGCTCACACATGAACAATGTGCCAGAGGGCAACCAATGCTCATGGATCTGCAACCAGAAACAGAGAGGTATATGCCAGTCGGGAGAACATTAGAAAAATACCTGCATGCGTTACATTTATATAAAATTTTAAAAAAGTTAAAAATCACACACTCAATTTAAGATTTCTGATACGCTATCCTGCATGAAGGATGCTATATATATATTATTGTTGTTGTAGTAGTATATACATTCAAATAATATTAAGAAATGCTCACAGAGAGCATTTTTATTATTTACATGTGGAATCCTGTAGCTCAGTGGTTAGAGCACTCGCCTCGCAAGCGAGAGACCTGGGTTCGATTCCCAGCAGAGCAAAGTGTTGGGCAAGTTTCCTTACTCCACACGCCTCTGTTTACCCAGCAGAAAGTAGGAACCTGGTTGTTAGTCGATTGGCAGATCGTTTTTCCAAGGGTAATAATTCTTTCAAAGAAGATAATAATAAATTGGTTATTTCAATCCATGACTGTTTGTGGGACGCTGCTGTGAGCAATTGGCTGCTGCGTTTCACCCACAAAATATATAGTCAATTCATTTTACAGTATATTCTGTGAAGCGCTTTGAGACATCTTGAAGACAGGATAAGGCACTATATCAGATGTAAGGATTATTATTATTATTACGACAGACCCAAACACTTAGTTATGTCCCTCACAGACCTTTGTGGTTTGGCTGAATTAGAAATTAGATTAGAGAAGGAAAGATTGTATGTCCTCTATTTTAAGGCTTTTATGGAGATTTATTTATTGCTTTAAGTGCCTCAGACATACTCTGTGTGAGGCCTGGCTTCTTCAATAGAAAGAAAACGTATGTGGTTCCCTTCTGCTCCCTCAATGGAAATCAATCTTATTTCATTGGAATCTTTCAAGCCTAAAAAATATTGTTGACAGACCTCAAACCAAAGAAGGAAGTTTGACTTGTCAATTGGATACTCATGTTTCAGTCACATAAGGAAGATAATAATAATAATCCTTGCATTTGATATAATGCCTTTCATGTCAGGGAGACATCTCAAAGTGCTTCACAGGATTAACTGTAAATCGTAGTGACTGGGTATTTTGTTGAAGAATGTCCACATAGATAAAGATTGGTAAGATGGATAAAGACTATCAGGAATCGAGACTTGAGATTCTAGTCTGGGCAGGCAATTCAACAAGAACTAATTACATTTATAAAGCTCCTTTCATGTTGGGAGGATGTCCCAAGGTGCTAATACAACAACAACAAAATTACATTTATAGAGCGCCTTTCACGTCGGGAGGACGTCCCAAAGCACTCAACAGTCAAGTGTCGGGGCCCGAGCATGGGAGAAGGGTGGTGTAGGGGTGAGGGAAGGCAAAGAAGTGGGAGGGAGACCAAAGGCATGGTCAAAGAGAAGGGTCTTGAGACTGGCCTTGAAGGAGGCAAGGGAGGAAGCGAAGCGAAGGGACCACGGGATGGAGTTCCAGAGTGTGGGGGCAGAGAGGCTGAAAGCCCGACCACCGATGATAGGGCGGGTCAGGCGTGAGACATGGAGCAGGCCGAGCCCGATGAACGGAGGCAGCAGGCAGGTTGGTGGGGAGTCAGCAGCTCAGAGAGGTAGGAGGGTGCAAGGCCATGGATGGCCTTAAAGGTGAGGATGAGGATCTTGAATTCGATCCTCTGGAGGATGGGGAGCCAGTGGAGGTGGGCGAGGGTGGGAGTGATGGGGTCAAAGAGCCTGGTGAGTGAAAGTACATGAGCTGCAGAGTTTTGGATGATCTGCAGCTTGTGAAGGGAAGAGTTGGGAAGGCCGATGAGGAGGGAGTTCCCGTAATCAAGCAGGGAGGTGGTGGTAGGCAGTGACGGTTATGGCACAGATGTGGGGGAGAAAGGATAGTTCAGGGTCGAACAAGACACCCAGGTTCCTGACTGGCTTAGTGAGATTGAGTGTGCAGCCATGGAGGCTGATGCTGCCAGCGCCTGAGGTGCGGAGGAGCTGGCGCGAACCAATCAGGAGGGCCTCGGTCTTGTTGACATTGAGTTGGAGAAAGTTGGCCCTCGTCCAGGACTTGATGTTGGACAGGCAGTCGGTCAGGACCTCAGTAGTCCTGGAGTTCAGGATGGAGGCAGAGGGGTAGAGTTGGATGTCATCTGCATACATGTGGAAATTTACCCCATGTCTGCGGATGACGTCACCAAGGGGGAGCATGTAGTGGGTGAAGAGGAGGGAACCGAGGACAAAGCCCTGAGGAACACCACACAAGACAGTGCAAGGGCTGGAGGAGAAGCTGTTTGCTGCGACGAAGTGGAGGCAGTGTGAAAGGTAGTCAAGGACAGAACCTTGAAGGTTGAGATGGGAGGAGAGACGGTGGAGGAGGATTGAGTGGTCCACGGTGTCAAAGGCGGCGGAGAGGTCGAGGAGTTTGAGGAGCCAGAGGGAGCCCTGGTCACACATGGTCAGGATGATGTTTGTGACCTTGACCAGAGCAGTTTCCATGCTATGGGCAGCACGGAAACCTGATTAGAGGGGTTCATGAAGGAAAGTGAGAGGAAAGGAAAGAGCGAAGCTGGGAGGCAACGGCTCTCTCAAGGATCTTGGATAGGAAGGGAAGATTTGAGATGGGCCGGTAGCTGGATAGCTGTGATGGGTCGAGGGTGATAGTGGTTGTTTTGAGGGGGGAAGGAACGGTGCTAGATGACAGGGAGAGGTTAATGATGTCGGCGAGTAGTGGGGCAAGGAGGTGGAGCTGGGATTTAAGGAGAGGGGTAGGGATCGGGTCGAGGGAGCAGGTGGTGGACTTCATGGAGGTTTCTGTGTTGAAGACAGAGGAGGGGGTGACAAGTTCAAAGAAGTGGAAGGAGGGATGGGTAGTTGTCAGATGGGTAATTGTGTGGGGTGGGGGGAGGGAGGAGATGGAAGTTGGGAGGGCAGTGGCAGCTGAGCGGATTCCCTCGATTTTGGACTTGAGTAAGTCCAGCATTTTCTCACAGTGAGAATCGGAGGAAATTGTCTACGAGGCATGTCGGAGAGGGCGGAGGAGCCGGTTAGTGGTGGAGAACAGGAGCCTGGGATTGCCTCTCGCCTCCAGGATTAACCCGGAATAGAAGGATGATTTGGCCGAGGCCAGAGCGGAGTGGTTGTTCTTGATGAGGTCCAGCCAGATGTGGCGGTGGACTGTTAGGCCAGATTTGAGCCAAGTGCTTTCGGCAGCCTGCACCTGGCCCTTAAGCAAGCGGAGGTGGCTGCTGAACCAGGGTGAGGTTTGGGAATAGGAGGGAGTTCGGGAGGTGAGGGGGGCAAGGACATCGAGTGTGGTGCTGTGGAGAAGAGTGAGTGCATTGAGTGGATTGTTGCGAGAGGTGGACAGAGGGGGAGGATATCAGAGGATTCAAGGGCAGCGAAGAGCGATTGCGGGGAGATATTCTTCCATGGGCGGTAGAAGATGGTGGTGGGTTTGGAGGCAGCGGGGAGAGGGATATGGGAGTTTAGGGAGATTAAATGGTGGTCAGAGATGGTTTTGTCAGTGATGGTGACATCCGAGACACTGAGGCCCCGGGTGATCACCAGGTCGAGCGGGTGACCATGGGTGTGAGTAACAGAATGGATGTGGAGGGAGAGGTTGAGAGAGGTGAGGAGAGAGGAGAAGTCTGAGGAAATGGAGCACGAAGGGGTGAAGTGGAGGGTCCAGATGCCTAGGATGATGAGGCGGTCGGAGCAGAGGCAGAGGGAAGCAAAGAGGGTGGAAATGTCGGAGATGAAGGTGGGAGAGGATTTTGGCGGGCGGTAAAGTAAGAGAATTTTCAGAGAGAGGTGGGAGGGATGGCAGAGGGTAAGGTGTTCGAAAGAGGGGAACGAGCCGGTGGAGTAGGGGGATAAGGCAAGTGACGCCCTGGATATGAGGGCCACACCACCGCCACGACGGTTGGGTCATGGGGTATGGTGGTAAGTGTAGCCGGGTGGTGTGGCCTCAGTCAGGGGGAAGGCGTCACCTGGGGTGATCCAGGTTTCTGTGAGTGCCATGGTGTCAATGTTCTCATCGAGGATGAGTTCATTGATGACCAGCGTCTTGTTGGAGATGGAGCGGACATTTTGAAGTCCAAAGCGGAGTGGACAGTTGGCAGGGGGATGTGTGGGATGGAGGGGGTAGTGGAATGGTTGGGAGGGAGGGTGGGGATGCAGATGAGGGAGGAGATTAGCCCCCGGGGTCAGGGTCGGGGGTGGCTTGCGGCGGTAGTGGGGAATGGGGCAGCCGGTGTGGCTGCTGCTGGACAGCCAGCGCCGAGTGCCGCAATGAGCCCGGCGGAGGATTCCCAGGCTGGAGCAGAGGGAGACAGTGGGGGTTCAAGCAGAGATAGGAGGCGGGGAGAGCGGAGAGAGAGCAGGACAGAGCGAGAGAGTTGCAGGGAGGGGGGCATTTTGAGGGACAGCCAGCTCGGGTTGGGGGCGACAGCCGAGATGCGCACGCTGGGATAAGAGGTGGCGGGTTTAGCAGGACATTTTCAGCCTGCAGGAGGCTGGGGGGGGCTAGAGTTGGCGCAGAGCGGGGAAGGCGCTCATTGTGGAAAGCAACAAGCAGCCTGCAGGGCAAGGACAGGGCAGACAGACGGACGGACGGAGGGAGGGAGGGACTGTTGCAGGCTGTCCTGTACTATACTATGCAATAGCTGCTACCAGGGATTCAAACTTGGTGGGCGGATGTGACGTCACGCGGAATGGCGGAAAAATCTGGAGGTCTAAAATGGCAGCTTCCCCTTGACCGGTAATGGCCGCCGCTCGATCCCCGCAACACCCACCCCACCTCAAGGTCCACGAGACGCCCGGCCCAAGCGGCAGTTACCCCCCCCCCCCCCCCCCCCCCCCCCGCCTCTGGCTAACACCAGTCTCGATCCTCAGGACCCTGGCCCCCGCTCTGGCTAACGCTGGTTCCGATCCCCAGGAGACCAGCCCTGTGACTCCCTGCCGCTGCCTGACTTACCTTCCTGAGTCCCGCTCAGTTTACCAGGGTTTTCGAGGCCCTGCCGCTCGCTGGTTCGCAACTCTTAGGATTCTTGTTCCTGATCACTCTTGAGTCTATCATGAACAAGAACCCTGGTTGATTTTTCCTTTGCTCAGACGGGGAACATTGAGACCTATTTTAACGCCTCAGCTTTACCCCTACCTTTTACACTGGGCTTACCTGGATGACGGTTGGTCTTGTTCTGCCGACTTCGCACCTGTTCAGTCCACAATGTTGGGTAATGGGTAGCAATGTCTGAAAATGCATCACAAGAATATGGTGAGTGATTTTTTTCTTTCTCTATGCTTAAAAGTATTAACATTTTATTTATTTATAGGATTTTATTACTATCCGCTAATAAACCTGACAAAATTCAGTGTACAAATGACATTTTGGTCCTATAAGTCAATATTGTAACTGCTCCAATGAATGTTAGTCTTCAGAGGTTGGAATCCAGACATGTTATGAAAAGAGTTAAACTAGAACTTGCTTCTTATCCCAGTTCTATTAGTAAAGTGAAACCCTTGTTTTTCACTCTGTCCTCTTCCTAAGCCATGGCCACTATTAGAAAACCAATCAGCTGCAGACACTATCAAATTATCAACCTCTCACAACATTATCAAAAATGCCTTGTATTAAGAATAATTGTGTGAAGCATAAAACATCCATTGTTTAGTTACTTTCACATGTTGTGCAGGAAAAATAGTTAAATAAAAAATAGTTAATTAAGAGAGTTCTTGAATTAGTACCAAGAAGGAACGATGAGTCTAATCAGATGAGCAAAGAGGCACATTTTGGTCTAATTTGCAATATTGGCAAAAGTTGGGAAAGTGATTATTTAAGCTTTGAGCTTTGTCTGTTGACCTGAGCAATGGGATTGGGGTTGGAGATTTCTGAAAAACACCACAGTACAAAAACAAAGCCAGACTGTGAAATGGAAGAACATGGGGAGATGGCATTTCATTTCCCAATCCCATTTTTGAAGTTTGGCAGCTTTCAGAAATTGCAATTATCACTTTCTTTTATTCTAATTCTCTATTTGCAAATATCGGAAATTAAACCACCATTTCCTTCCCATGCTCCTCTCAAACCCCCCACCCTCATTGTGGGCAAACTATTGGAAAGCACATGAAAAGTTGTTGTTAACAATTATAGCAAATTTCATATGCGAGAACATTTCAAATAAGGAGAAACTCCCTTCACTTTCCAATAGAACACGAGGAAGACAAAGAAGAATGGTAATAGATGGGATAATGGAAAAGGCAATGAAAGAAACCATCTGTCCAGTGACCAGGAAGTGTACAGTGAAATGATCACCAACCTCCAGAGTGGAGAAAGCACCTAACGAGGCACAACATAAGAAATTAGATGAAAGTCGCTTACTTATACTTACCTTCTTCATCAACTTGACGCGGAGTGTTCAGTACAGGAGCTGAAATGTCATCTGAGTTTAGAAACGAAAAAATTTGAAAAGAGACTACAATTATAAGAGTAAACAATATTTGTCTTGTTTTAGGATCAACTACAAATTTTGCACATAGCCCGGCCACCTATAAATAAATAAGATTGCTGTAGATCCAATCATTGAGTCCGGATGCCTAAAACAAAAAGAAAAGGCCTGATTATATTGAAGGGCAGTACTGTTCAGTGTAAGCTGCTTTGAAATTGTCAATGGTTTGTTCAGGTTGTCCAGAGGCTGTGGATTGTTACAAAAGGATACATCAGTCCAATATAATACATCCTGTCTTCTCTTAGAACTGGTGTTTGACTGCGCAGACGCCTGACATTTCTCATGGTGTTAAGGCCTTAAGATCATTATTTTAAAATTTTGCAAAATCCTCAAATTCTGAAATTAGAAGCTTATTTTGAAAGAACTGCAGAAACCCGGGTTCGCCAAATAGGAATGATTTAAGGAATTTCCCAAATTCTACATGATCTTAAAGTTTATAAGACCATGAAAAATTTCAGGCTTCTGCTCTCCAAGCAATAAGATCCAAAGAGATTGTATCGAGTTGCTGAATGAGTTCAGGAAAGGAAATGTTGGAAATAAGATTGTGAGGTCTTCATCGTGTCCCAGAGAGAACCTGCAGTTAAAGAAAAATACATCAAATCTTGTGACGTGTCACAACCAGGGGGTTATGATGGACTTTCTGTTCAAAATGTGAGTATAGCATATTGTCAAATATCTTTCAGGTATTACCAAACGATTCCCACGTTGTTTGATTTTTCTCAGTGGCGCTGTGAGAAATGTGAGTTTGTTAACCAGAGTGACAGAGAAGCAGGAAGATCCCATCCGTGGATATTTAAGCTATCTTTTAAAGTGGTTTGTTCATCCAGCCATGGATGGTAGAGTTTCTGGCGTACAGAAATTGTAAAAGAAACTTCACTGATGATGTACTCCGTATGTTGGTGAAAGTGGTGGTGGAGTCGCAATCACCAATATTTCTATATTCTTAGATGAGCTTTAATAATAATAATACTTAATAATACCACCTTTCACACTGGGAGGATGCCTCAAAGAATTTCAAATAATTTACTGTAAAGTCTACACTGTGTATTTTGTAGGTGAACACGGTAGAGAATTTGTGCACAGCATTATCCCATAAGCAGCCATGAAGTGAATAATCAATCTTATCTGGGTATTGTTGGCCAGGACACTGGGAGAATTTTTTCGAATGGTATGGGATCTGAACCTGAACAGGCAGACGCCCCGCTTAGCATTTCAGCCGAAGGAAGGTACCTTCAACAATGCAGAACTCCCCTAGCACTGCATTGAAGTGTCCCCTAGAACAAGAGTTTAAAGTCCCAACTTGGGGCTTGAACCCACAGCCTTCTGATTCAGAGGAAGAGTGCTACCAGCTAAGCCAGGCCGACACAACATCGGGATGAATAAATGGGGGTCACCAGACATTAGATGGCTATAACAAGACAATATATGACCTGTTTGGGAAGGAGAGTTTCCTTGGCCTGGGTCAAACAGATGTTAGAGTGGAGCAATGGCTATTAGTGTGCATGTTCACATGTTAGGATTTAAAATTTAAAATTTAAAATTCACTACCTGGATTCTCTAATAGCTGCTCCAAATTGCAAGCAGCAACTTCTGCCGGTAACCAAAAACGAGTCACGTTGTCTGCGGGAACTCTGCTCTGAGACATGCAGACCTTGCTCATTACAGGACATAGACAGAGCAGCAACATCAGGAGTATTTCCTCTGGTGATGGGGAGATTGTAGAACTGCAACAACTAGAGGGGCAGCTTCTCTGTTCCAGAGCAGGGCAACAATTCTAAAAGACTTCAGAAAGCTCATGGTAGCCAATTGCTGTATGCTCGACTGAACACAGCCGACTGAATGTAGATTACCCCCAACAAAAGAGATGGAGCATAGGAATAGCTGTCTTGTTTTTTTGTAGCACTGAACAAGATACAGTTGATATCACATCTGGGAGCACAGAACCCATATCGACTAAAACACCAGAATCATTTGTTCAAGGTTCATGGCAGTTGGAAAAGAATCATAGTATCAAAGTATTATATAGCACAGAAAGAGATCATTCGGCCCATCCTGTCTGTGCTGGCTCTTTGAAAAGGGCTATCCAAATCAATCCCACTCCTCCGCTCTCTCCCCATAGCCCTGCAAACTTGTTCTCCCCAAATAATTATCAACTTCTCTCTTAAAAGTTGTTATCGAATTGACTTCCACCACCCTTTCAGGCAATGCATTCCGGATTCGAACAAATCACTATGTGAAAAAATTTCTCTCACCTTCCCTCTGCTTCTTTTAACAACTATTTTAAATTGGTGTCCTCGGGTTACCGACCCACCCGCCATTGGAAATATTTTCTCCATAAAAGATATGGGCAGAGGGCTTTCTCCCTGCGGCTTCACAGTTACCAATGCAACTATTCACTGGTGTTATTCCTTCCACATGGAGAGCCACATACAATAAACCAGGAAAACTTCATGAATCACCATTGGCAAACATGAAAGCATAAGTTCTTAAAGATTCTATACCTTCAAGGCAATTTGTATGGTTATGTAATTGTGCAGTCCTGCCTTTCATTGAAAATGAAAGGACAAAATGAGCAATGATGAAAGAAGCTATTGGATACAGAACTAAGAAAAGACAATCAGATAAGTAAATGGAGGATTTTCATTGTAAATGTGTACACATTAACAGAGAACAGTCTAATGGCTCGGCTGATTGAAAAATAAATGTTGTATTAAATGATGTTGGACCTGTTCTAGCTAACTTGAAAGGCTGGTTTTTATCTGTCTGGAGCTTTCTGCTCATTATCTACCCTTCCTTTGTTGGACCAGTGCTTTGAGCAGGGTCAACAGGGACTGATCAACAGGGGACCTGTGCTGTCAATGGAGGTCATAGGAAACTGTCAATAAGACTCACAGTAACCAACCACCACACATCTTTACCCAGCTTTCTCACGCAATCTGGCTTGAGCTGCCTTCTCCCCCACCAGATCTGAAGTGGAATAAATTTTAAAGAGCCTTTAGAATTCAAATTTTCTACATTTCTCATTCCCCTCGTGGATTTTAAAATGGTCTTAACAAGTTCACTGGGGCCTTTCCCACCGCTTTTCATAAACTAATCTTTGAACCATTTCCAAAGAAGAGGAAAATTAGGATTATTGGCATGAAATGTATTGCTTTAAATGGCCACTCGATACCTCCTAACCGTCTGCAAACATGTTCATTAGGAAATTAGGAAAGGGAACGCAATGACCTTCTCAGTCGCTTCACCTCTCTGATGAGATCAGTGGATTGTAACTCAAAGCATTCCTAACCAAGCACTACATTTTCTGTAATTGTTGACCTTTCCCTAATTAAATAAAGGTCTTTTTTAAATACTGCAACAGTTCCCACTTTGACTATTTTATATGCAGCTCCCATCTACAAATAATGGAAACATTCAACAGGTTTGAATGTTATAGAAAGGGTCCTGCTCTATTAAATTAATTCAAAATACAGCGCATTCGATAACAGAAAATCTTGCAAACATACACAACCACACTGATTAAAAACACAGATTTGTACAAGTGTGACCAAAAATGCAGGTGAAGTTAGATATTTACCTTTTTTACCACTTTTTTCTCGCTGGGGCACTTTTTCTGTGGCAGAGCCTGAAAAACAACATGAGTTTGCTTTCTCTCTGTAGTGTCTGGATTTGATAGTCTGTGACCTGGGATGTTTAATATGGTATTTGATTTCTTGCATCCATTTACAAAACATAAATTGCATTTATATAGTTTCTATTATGTCGGGAGGATGTTTGCCCCCGATTACACTGGATAAAGCTATAATACATTTTCCTTGCACTTGACTACAGAGAGCCAAGCCAGCAGGTGTGCCTCGCACGCTCATAGCAATTCAGTTCAAAACCTTCCACAGCAAATGGCACTGCTGCCATTGTTTATCACATCCATAGAAGCACTGCCTTCGGTTATAATGGGAATAATGCATTTCTGTTACCTCTGCAGGGCTGACTATCACTGCCCTAGATGGGTCTTTGTACCACCTCTGGAGACAATGCCACTGACATAAGATAAATGATTCCCCCCTATTCCCTCTGCCTGCACTGACTTCTATTTGTCTCTATCGCGCAGCAGCGTAACTACAAATGGTGCAGTCGCCCATGTGGCTATGGAGGCCCAACACATGGGCAGTGGCACAATTTGCGTTCTCTCACTCCCTGCTCTGATATGGCTGTGTCATGCAGGTGCTCTCTGGGGAGAAAGAGAAAACACTAAGAAGACAGAGATGGTAAAGAGAAGAAAAATGTTAGATTTCTGAATCAGGAAGGGACCGGAACCTAACCTATTGCACCCCTGGGGCCTTGTCACACTACTGCTAATCAGTATAGATCAAGCACTTATATGCTAATCTTTCCATTGTGGAAAAATTCCATTGAGTATTACACACAGCACCTTTGGCGATATCGGCCCCTAATGGGATTTCTCATTATAATCGCACATACCAAAGGTGATGTGCATAATGCTGACCAGAATTTTCCCCCACATGTATGTGTACAGGCTAGCATGTAAGTGTTTGACCTGTACTGACAATCCTTATAAAGCAATGGAGGTCCAAGCACACAGTAAACGTGTCCTTTGACTTGGTACCAGTTGTACAGATAGGGATTTGCTCCTAGTGCTGTGGATTCCACCCCTAAAGTAAATGGAATGGAATCAATCCATTGGCACTAGCAACCTCAAGGATAGCAGGGCCAGATCTGTTTGACTCTGATTTGCAAAATAAACACATCAGATGGTCAGAAGTGTGCTTCTTTAAACACATTTCACTGCATTTTCAGAAGTTCTCTGAATTTAAATTGGCTGGACTTATTAGAGGGCAATGTCTTAACATCAAGGAGAGGCCAATGGTTCTCTATATAGCCCTAGCAAAATGAGTGTAAATTATACTTGATCTTGGAAGGGGAGAAATTATCTCTGGAGCTGAATTGGCTCTGAGGAGACACCCATGGTGCATCCTGGCAAGCTCAAAGAATTCTGAGGCAGTGGGATGTAATTTGCGATATTTGGAAATCTGATTCAATGCGTTACTTGTAACTTTTTGTTTAGGAATACAAGAAGCTGTTTAGTTGCAAAATTTGCAAACAACCAATTGTAAATCCCAAGATTTGGTCAAAGTCCAAATAAAAGGTCAGCAGGCCACATGACATGTTTACTAAACACACAGTTAATGTAGGATTAGCTGTTTCCAAACCATCTGTTTAAAAATCTATAAAAACACAATATTTTCACTAAAGTGTTGCAGTAAATGTGAATTGTAATTGTTGTGAAAGCTCACTATCTTTAGAAAATTAGCATAAGATAGACTCCATGGTGAGATGGTTGGTGGGTGGCGTTGAGAATTGGCCTGTTGAGCATAATGCTATTATCCTAGAACCTCAGAAATTTACAACATAGAAGAAGTCCAATCAGCCTATTGTGCTCTTACTGACTCTTTGAAGATTCAGTCCAAATCAGTCCTGCCTTTCACCATATCCTGCAAATTACTCCTTTCAGATTTCTATCTAGTTCTTTCTTGAAAGCCAACATGGATCCCGGCTCAATCATTGCTCCCATCAGGGCAGTCAACTTCCTAACAAAATTCCTCCTAATCTCCCTTTTGGCTATTTTAAATTGATGCTGTCTAGTCACTGACTCACAGGCCAGCGGAAATAATTACTCTTTATTGACTATCAAACGCCCCCAAATCCTATTTCTCAATTTTTTAAAAATATAATGATACTATGAAGATAAATTTGGCAACATAATGTTAACATACAATTGAAAATGTAGACAGTATGTCAGATTTGTATGTTTAGCATTTCCAGTGTTGTTATAAAGAGAAAGCTTTGCCATCCCACGATTCTTTCTGATTTGAGTTTAGTTTTTTTTAAATGCTCGTATACAGATTATTTTTCTGTGCAATAATTGATCAGAATGCCAACAACGACAAATAAATAGGGATATTTTTTCTTCTTGGATCATAAACTGTGTGCAAACGTAAAGTTGGATCAGGAATTCTTCATCGTGACAGTGAAACCAAATTGTATTTGAGCTATGCCAAGATTAGATTTCTTTTGCACTCAAAATTTGGACAGACGGTGTCAAGGGAACATCGTGTGCCTTTCTACGGTGAGCATCGCCCATGAACAGTGTAAGAGCTACACGCGGCATGACAAGAGAAAAACAAATAGGTCTTAATGGTGGTGGCCAATTACCAAAATACACTATCCAATAACTCCTTATGAATATTTCTTTTCTCCTTGTTTTTATTTTTGGATTTGAGAAGCTTAATCAGGCACCTGGTGCAAAATATGTGAATGACGTTATCAAGGAAAGCCACTGGAGCAGGCAGGCAGTCTACAGGGGTTGAAGAGGCAAGCAGATGTGTTTATAGAGAGAGGATTGACGTATCTGGTTAGAAGGCAGTTGAACAAAAGGTTGTGAGAACATAGTCTCATTGTCTCAGAAGGCCATAGATATAGCATCAATTGAGGCAGTACAGAAAGATAGAGACAGATTCTTAGGAAGTGAGGGGATTAAAGAATTATGGAGTAGGATTAAAGAGTTGGCAGAGACTTAATGGCAAAATAGCCTTGATGGGCAAATAACCTATTCCTGTCCCTATGTATTCAAAATTCTGGACAATTTGAAATGCTAAAACAATGGTCTTCAGCCTAAAAAAGCAGAGGGATTTGAGACTCCCTGCTATCTACTTGTACAGAACATGATGAGGTACACAGCATACTGCTGCAGGGCTCCATACCTGGACAGCGGGGTGTTTTACGTTCTACAGCTGTGCCACTGATAGGCCGGCCGTTAGGAGTGACACACCAGCAGTATCGGGTGTAGCTGTGACACTGGACCTGCGGAAGATGTAACAAACCATGAGAGATCCCTGACCATTTTGATTAAAGCATCAAATTCTGTATAAAATACTGGGTGAAAAGTTTTTAATTGTGTATAAAATACTGGGTAAAATATTACTCCGTATAAAGACTGAGTGAAAGGTATTGTGAAACCTGACTGTATGTTCCATCTTCATTACACTCTGGGACAAAAAGCTCCTGGAGGACTTTACGAGCCTGTGCTTGGGAGTATTTCCGTTCTGCCACACATCTGGAGGCCTCTAAAAGAAAAAAAGAGAAAAGATGAAGAGTACAATTATACTTTTTATGTTCATTCATTTTATCAAACTACAGGGTGAAAATTGCAACCTGTGATGTTCTGGTGATAACTGTTGGTAATTATGGCCAATGAGGCCACTTGAAACCTGATAAAAGTTAACTGGCCGAGGTATGAATAACCCCTTATCCTCATCACAATAGATGGGCTCAAAGCCGCCTGTGCCAGCCATTGAACTTGCCGACTTAAATCCTGATTCTTTTCCTTGAGTTAAATCGGCAGCAGGCAAACCAGCTGCATGAAAAGGAGGGAGGAAAAGAGGAAGAGAGGAAGGAATAATGCTAATGTTCTCATAATAATATTAATGATCTAATAATATCTTTACACTTGATATAGTGCCGTCAGATGAGATGTTAAACCAAGGACCCATCTGCCTGTTCAAGTCAACGTTAAAGATCCCTTGGCACTATTCGAAAAGAGAAGGGAATTTCTCCCGGTGTTAAGTCAATAATCCCCCAAATCAAATTGGTCACTCAATCCATGTTTGTTTGTGGTACATTGCTGTGCCACGTTCACCTACAAATACACAGTCACTCCCCTTTACAGTAAAGATCCTGTGAAGCACTTTGAGATATACCGACGACATGATCAAGTGCTGTATCAAATGCAAGGATTGTTATTATTATTATTATCCAAGCTGTTGCGAGGCAGGAGTAGACTGAGTTCTAAGAAGTAGCTGGCCCTATCAGTGGCCTTCATGACATTCATACACAGTTTTTTTTGGCATCATTTGATCAAAGTTGGGTCAACGCCAGTGGCTCCAGAACGTTCTGTTTGCAAGTCAGGTGGGCATTGAAGGAGCTGAATGAGAGTGTGATGAACAGCATAGGACCATTATTTATTTTATTATTTATTAACTAACAATGGTTTATTATGTGCAGGCCATTAGATTCAAACAAACCTACATCTTCCATGTGTTCCTAACAATGAGAAGGGCTGAGTATAAGGGACATTTGGGGACAGGTGACTAAGCACAGCATAGATCACTGATACCAGGCACATTGTTAGAGATGCAAATATTGTTAGAGATGCAAATATTGTAAATGCTGGAGTTATATCAATCCACAATCGTTGTTTCAATCCACGGCTGTTTGTGGGACATTTCAGTGCCCAATTGGCTACCGTGTTTCACCCACAAAATACACAGTCAATTCACTTTACAGGATATTCTTTGAGACATCTCAACGATATGATAAGATGCCATATCAAACAAAAGGATTATTATTATATTACTTTAATATAATGTTACAATTTGTCACTTTCAGTGATCATTCCCCTTCCCACACCCTCAATCCCAACACTACACTGTATAATTTCAGCACTGATTGTGTAATCATTACACAACACTACACTGTGTAATCTCAACACTACATTGTGTAATCTCAACACTACACAGTGTAATTCCAACACTACATGGTGTAATATCAACACTACATAGTGTAATCCCAACATTACACTGTGTAATCCCAACACTACACTGTGCAATCTCAACACTACACTGTGTAATTCCAACACTACACTGTAATCTCAACACTACACTGTGTAATCCCAACATTACAGTGGGTAATATCATCAGGGCATTGACTACTTTGTATTTTATAAATTTGAAATGTTTACAGAGCATTTTAGAGTTTTCAGAATTAAGCAAATTTTTAAATACAGCCTTATTTTTGAAGCCGATTTAATATAAATTCATTTGAAGATCTACAGAACATTGCCTTCAAAGTTAACACTAAATTCAACAACTTTCCAAATCTTGGAATTCTAAAATGCTACATAATTGGAGTACATCTGGACACTGGTTGGAATTTTACTGAATGATTACATTTTTATTTTTCAAATGTTTTCGATTTAGTTGAAAGAATAGCCATATAAATTTAATGAATATGATTCATCAAACAAATATATTGTTAAGTAATCAAATGATCAGCAGGATTTATAACAATAATAATCCTTGCATTTGATATAGCACCTCATCACAATGTTGAGGCATCTCAAAGCGCTTTACAGAATATACTGTAAAGTGAATTGCCTGTACATTTTATGGACAAAATGAGGCAGCCAATTGCGCACAGCAGTTTCTCCACAAACAGTGGTGGATTGAGTGCCCAAATTATTATTATTTTGGGGGTAGGGATTATTACCCCGGAAAGCGATCCGCCAATCAACTAACAACAGGGTTCCTACTTATTGCTATGTAAACAGAGGAGTAAGGAAACTTGCCTACGGTTTATTCCTTAGGTCAGATTCATTCCATCTTCTAATTTGTCTCGCGTTCACAATACATATTGCAACATGAAATATGAGAAATACTGACTGAGAGAAGGATTAAACTTAACTGAACTTCCTTATTCATTGCAAACAAAAAGAGACCTGTTTGGTACACTGTGTATTTAATCTGTCACAGAACTGTCCTAAAGGTTTAATGCTGAGTGAGTAACTTCCCAGCATGTTTTGCCCTCCTAAGAATTGAAGCCTGTTAAAAACATTTACTGCATTTCTGTCAATTAACACTAACTATTATTTATGACAGATTTCCAAGTTGGGCAGTATAAACAGTCCTTTACTGAGAGAACTATAATCACTGAAATAAAACAGGACTTTCAAGCATTCGTAGAAAAATTATTAATGCATGCGTTAAATCAAGTTAATTGCATGAATTAGAGGGCAAAAGACTGAGAGAACATGGATATGAATAATGTTAGAGAAGCCTTTAAAGAAAGAGCACGCTACATCACAATGTCATCTTCCAGTCACACCTTCGCACAGAGTGAGGGATCGAACAATGAAGATTATTTCAAAATCCCTCCTTGGTACCTTTTCAACTCGCAGATGGCTAACCATTCAAGCAGCCTAAAGACTGTTCCTGAACTGATCACCTAAGGTATGATGGATTATCAAGACGGGTTTGAGCAAAATCATCTTGTAGTTAGGATGTTTGCGGTCATCTTTTTTTCCCCCCTCCCTCCTTAGCTCCCTTCCCCCAACCCCAGCTCGGGTGCCCAATCATTTGTGTGAAGCACTTTGACATATTCTCCCGACATGAAAGGCGTTACAGAATATAAATCATTTGTTTTTTAAACATTATGCTATTTTTTAAATGCTGTATCTCGGGTCAGCTATTGCCTGAAAATCCATAGGGTTAAAGTGGTAATTATTAGTAATGATTTACTGTTAAAGAGGTCAATTTATTGAGACATTTCTTTATCCCATCAAATGTATCAAAAACAAACCTTCAAGAAGCTTGTATCCCCAGTGGCAATCAAAAGCATTGATCTATCTCTCTGGAAAACCAATGGTGTAGATCCGACTTCAGAAAGTTGTGGAGAAAGGTTTTCCACCTCCCACATACATCTTGGTACATATGTTGAGCAATAAGCCCCAAACATAAAATTTGTCATTTACTCCATGGCTGTTTGTGGGACATTGCTGCGTGCATATTGGCTGCCACATTTGCCCATAATATAAACACAGTCACACCACTTTACAGTATATCCCAGTGAAGTGTTTTAAGATGTCTCAGTAATGTGATAAGGTGATATAGCAAATGCAAGGATTATTTATTATTATATTTGATGGGATAAATGTGGAATGTACTGCTAAACTTTACCAGAGGAATTTCCCCCCATTTAATTTTTTTTGCAGTAGCTTTTCAAACCCACTTCTGACACCTATCAGGATGTCATAACCTCTGCTTGCAATGGGTGGCTGGTTCCATGCACGTAGACTGCTGATTCCATGAGTTTTTACACCATTAGAAACATTACCAACATGCAGAAACTCAGCCCTGATGTTTTCATGAGCTGAAGAAGCAGCTTCTGGGAGGCAGCTTCAGGCTATCCCCAGCTGTGTGGTTTGCAGTAAAGCAGGTGTAGAATTGGCTAATGACGTGCTTGGATAGCATTTAAAAGGGAACTAGGTAAATACTTGGAAGTGAAATCATTTTAAAGAGTATGGTGAAAGAGCATGGAAAGGGGATTAGAGCAGACAGCTGCACTGGGAAGAGCTAGCACCAGCACAGACATGATGGGCCAAATCTGAACATTCTGTGTTATAAATATTCTTTGATTCTAACTATGATACTATTAATCCTTGCATTTAATATAGTGCTTTATCATCAAAAGACTTTGTTTTATCATCAAAATGCCTCAAAGCACTTCACAGAAATTATTGCCAGGCATAGTGACTATGTATTCGGAAGGCAAACAATTTACGCACAGAAATATCCCACAACACAGCCATGTTTTGTGATCAGTTTTGTTTGGAGAATTGTTGGCCAGGCACTCAGAAGAAACTCCCTTCTCTTTTCAAATAGTGTCACGGGATCTCTCACATTTCCCTGAACAGGGTTCAAGAAAATGGTAGTGATCCTGTGGCACTACTTGAATTGCTTAATGGTTCATCTGAAGGACAGCACCTCTGAAAATGCAATGTTCTCCCAGTATGGGGGTAAGGGCAATAATGTAGTTTTTTGGCAAACTGCATTTGTTCAATTGTCACTGACACAGGAATGCAGCTTTTCAAACCGAGACACAATGAGCCTTGCTACATTGCTGGAGGTGTCATCCTTCAGATGAGACGCTAAACCAAGATCCAGTCTACTTGTTTAATCGGCACTATTCAAAAAGAGAAGGGAGTTATTCCTGGTGTCCAGGCCAAAAATCCCTGAGATAAAATTGGACATTCACTTCAAGGCTATTTGTGGGACTTTGCTATATGCAAGTTTGCCTACAAAATACATAGTCACTACACTTAACAGTAATTCCTGTGAAATGCTTTGAGATATCTTCCTGACATGTAAGGCACTGTATCAACTGCAAGTATTATTATAATTATTATAATTATTATAATAATAATTATATTGTTCAGAGAAATAGTTGCTCACCATTGAAGCTCTATTTGATAGTAAGATTTGGGAGATTATGTTCCACTTGAAGCACTCGCTGTGTGTTTCGAAAGGTCTTTCAAGCTAAAGTCTGCAGCTGTTTAGTGGGGTAAATTACCTTTTATGGACGTTTGCTTTGAAACTGTGATACTGAATGCTTGCTCTATTCTATTTATGTAGATTGAATACCTTATGTTAGTTGGTAAACTGCAGATCTGTTGAGGTGTTTTGAGTAGTATGGCACATGACCATATAAAATCCATGTGCAGAAGGTGTAGTTGGTTAACTCTGGAGCAAGCACACAGCAAGAGTTGTAATCTAAACATAAATTTCTAGATTGCAAGAGAGCCTTTGTGGCAGCAAATTACCAGTGGCAATGGTTTTAAAACAAGACAAACGTAACAAGCACAAATTACATTGCATTATTCCCAGTTGTGTTTAATATTAAACATTTGTAATACATCTATTCAAGTTAAATTAAGTGTTTGGCTGAAACATTTTTTTTAATAACCTAATATATGAATACAATTGTGCTTACCTTTACATCTGCCTCTGTAGGCTACGTCCAATTGTGGATCTTTGCATTTAGCACGTTGAAATTCACATCGTGACAAAAAGGTCCTTCCATCAGATGCACAAACTGGTTTCTGCTGTGATCCTAGACAGTTAATATTGCACTCCTTGTTCTTATCTTGATCCACTCTCAAAAACTAATAAAAGAAAAAGCACTGTTTGTTTGCAAACTTTACAGCTGTTGTGTCCTTATTAAACTGATCAATAAAAGGCAAGCATGATATTCGTAACCAAAATATGTTTTGACTTTTGAATGTATTACTACCTTTTATGAAACAATTGTTTTTCGGTGGAGAAAGAAGTTGTGAGTCATGTAGCTGGATAAACTTACTGTAACTAAAAAAAAGCCTCAAACTATTCAACTTTCTTGTTTTATTATGTTAGGTCAAAAAGAAGAATCAGAAGACAATACGTTTGCAGTAAATGTTCTACATCAGTGACTGGAGTAGGATTTGAACAAAGAAATCGAAAGCAAAAGCATAAACCACACAATAAAAAGGCAGGCAAAGCTCAAAAATATTGAAGAGGTTTTACTTCTACCTAAGTGTAAATATAACTGGTTGTTATAAACTTGTTTATTTGAATAGCATTTAGGATGTTTCAAACAAAATGTTTATCAACACCTACTTAGCAATTAGTGACGCAATTTATTGGCACCTACTTATCATCGGAGGGCAAATTTCCTATCAGAATTTTAAAAATATCCGCTGTCTCCCGTTAAGAATCAAAGGCCCAAAAATTCCCATGGGGCTTAACCTAAAGCCCACACTACCTTAAAATTTAAACTTGTGTAGAATTTGGGAAAATTCTTAAATTCAGTTGTAGTCAAGAACATAATGTGGAACATGAGCTTCAAAATTAAGACTGAATTCAAACATTTTCTACAATGTTGATTGAACAACCGGAACCACAACAACAATGTGCACTTATTTTTGGTAGGGTAGCGTCTCAGAGCACTTGAACAACCTTAAATATTAACACCATAAGGTGGCCAGCACTCCCACAAATAAAATTGTTCATTTACTCCATGGCTGTTTGCGGGGGATTGTTGAGCGCAAATTGGTTGCCGAGTTCACGCAAAATCCCGTTCCTTTACAGTAAAGTCATGTGAAGCACTTTGAGACGTCTCAACGATGTGATAAGGCGCTATATCAATTGCATTGATTATTATATTATTATTATTAGAATGTTGAGCTCCAGTGTTCTCTATAAAAAATATTCTCAGCATTAGTTTGTTAAATGCTTATCTTATCCTCCGGACGTGAAAAGTGCTATATAAATACAATTTGTTGTTGTTCAATTTTCATTCTTAGGAATAATGTTATGAAATCTACTGAGGGAACATTTGTAACACTATAAAGGTGAGCAGTGTCATGCAATATACATTATACAGTGTGGGTTCTGAATACCTAGTCGTACCTAACACGTGCTGTCACTAAAAAATTATATTATTCTGTTGAAATAAAGGCTGGTGTAACTTTGCATGGATTGATATACAGTAATGTACCTTCAGCTCTTGGCTTCTGCATCAGGATTATCTTTGTAAACAGTTAGCCTGATGCCAAGACGCCTCCACTGTGCTCGGTGCACTCACAGCACAGAGGAAAGCAAGAAAATCACACACTCCAAAAATAAGTGTTATGCAATCATAAGTGACATAAAGAATAACAAATGTCTGGCAGCCAGTTGAAGGCTGTGGTTCAACACAGAGAGATTCTTGTCCACATCCATAAACCACTATAGAGACACGCTTACTGTGGAATCAGAGCAAGCACTTGGTCACATCACTCTCCAATTTTCTATTCTACACAGATGAACGATCAGGAGTTACAATGCACAGAGTTTTTAACAGACAGCTGGTGAAATGTGACGAGTAATAGGTCCGGTCAGTTACTACGGACTGCATTGTGTGCAACACTGCTACAATCTTCTCCATCTCAGCTGAGCGCAGTAATAATAATCCTCACCAAGAAAAACACACTGTAAACTCTACTAAACAGTCAGGATATCAGTCCATTAATTATCTTAATATTACTGTCCTTAAAATAATGTCATAAACCTACAGGGGCAACCAGGCAGAGAGCAATCTTTTTGAGGGTGACTTACTACAGTTTAAGGGTTGGCTTTAGTGCTGACTCGGTGTGGATCTTTGTGAGAGTGAGGATGCAGTCAGTGGACGGACTCTCGCTCTCTGACTCTCTGACTCGGGTTGGGGCTCACAACATACAGTACCATCACCAGCTTGGTTTGAGGTAGAAATCGCACCAAATCGTTGCAGACTGTGCAGCAGTAACTGGCTCACTGGATGGGTTTGGCATTTCAGCTTCAGTGCTCGTCAGCCTCTCTGCTGAAGACCTTTCTTTTTGACCGCGCCTTTGGTCACCTTTCCCCCCCCCCTCCTCCTGGCTCGGTCCCGGGATCCGAAACTGTAAAGCGCTCTGAGACACCGTCCGCCGTGGAGGGCACTATATAAGTCCAAGTTGTAGTTGTAGTAGTAGCCCCCGAGGAACTCAATGGCAGAGCCAGAAAGGGCTGTTCAGCCAGACAGACAGACAGCCACCGTGCAGTTTCTTATATACTGGAAACAAAAGGCAAAATACTGCAAACGCTGAAAAATCTGCAACAAACAGAAGTCGACTTCTGTTTTTATCTCTTATATACTGTATCTGGCAAATCGATTGTGAGTATTCCCTTGTAGAACTGCGGTCTGTCTCTGTTTCTCTAATTTAGCAGATGCCAACACTGGGTCACCTCAACAAAAAATATCTTAACCTCTCCTGAAAATTGCTGTGATCGTCAAATGTACATTCGTGGCAGATAATAATAATAATAATAATCCTTGCATTTGATATAGCGCTTTTCACGTCTTCCCAAAGCGCTTCACAGAATATACTGTAAAGTGAATTGACTGTATATTTGTGGGCGAACGCGGCAGCCAATTGCGCACAGCAATGTCCCACAAACAGTCGTGGATTGAAAATGACCAATTTGTTATTGTTTTTGTTTTGGAGGGATTATTATTAGGCTCTGTGTGGAGTAAGGAAACTTGCCCAAGGTTTGCCCTGCCTGGAATTAAACTCAGGTCTCTCGCTTGCAAAGCAAGGGCTTTAACCACTGAGCTACAGGACTCCTCCGTAGGATAAAAGTAGAAGTTACCGACTGGCATTTAGCAACAGAAACACTGCTGCAACTGATCGAAAGATGACTTGATATTAAAAGAAACCTGAACATATCAGGGTCAAAAACCAGGCTCGAGTTCCCCGTGCAATCCTCATCCAGTCACAGTTTCTCACAACATTTCACGCAATAATGTTCGAATCATTTCTATCTAGTTTGGGAACTTTTCACGTGGTTCTCTCACGAGTTGGGTGAACTGCTCATCAGCAAGATGATAACAGGGAACCACCAGACATTTGTAGCAAATGACAAATAACACTTGTCTTGCTCCCTCTTGTACAAGTTCTGGTGTTTTTTAAAAAAACTCTGAATTTATAATCGTGGAGTCCTGTAGCTCAGTGGTTAGAGCACTCGCTTTGCAAGTGAGACACCTGGGTTCAATTCCAGGCAGAGGGCGAAACCTTGGGCAAGTTTCCTTACTCCACACAGAGCCTAATAATAATCCCTCCAAAACCAAATACAATAATAAATTGGTCATTTTCAATCTACGACTGTTTGCGGGATATTGCTGTGCGCAATTGGCTGCCGCGTTCGCCCACAAATATACAGTCAATTCACTTTACAGTGTGTTCGGTGAAGCGCTTTGGGACGTCCTCCCAACGTGAAAAGCGCTATATCAAACGCAAGGATTACTATTATTATTATTATTATTATTATCATAAGACTGGGCTCCACATCAGCTTCCCAGCGCAGCGCAAACCTGCACCCACCACTGTGAACAGTCCAGGATTCCCCCACTCAGGGAAATAACCTGCTTGACTTTCTACGGAACAAGGCTTGACTTACCTTGAGTGCCGAGAATTTCTGAGAGCATTGCATTGGCGTGAGGAGGGAGAGGAGCAGGAGGAGGCAGGAGGGAGTGAGCCACATGTTGAGGAGTGCGTGTGGAGCCTGGACTGAGGCTGACCGCCTGCCCATCAGCACTGAGCGTCTGCAGCTCTCACTCTGCCTCACTCACCCACTGTCCTCATTCACTGTCTCTTTCTCTACCCTTTCGTGTTCTTCCCCTTTGATTCTAAATACGCTGTATGCACTTTCCTCTGCTTCTCACTGTTTATCTCTTTATTCCTTCATCCATCCATCCATTTATCTAAATCGTATTATTTATTTCTGTCTATGTGTCTCTCTTTAGTTCTGTCCTATCTCTAGATTTATTCCTGCCTCTCTCTCTCTGTGTGTCTCTCTCTGTCTCTCTCTGTCTCTCTGCTTCTCAGTGTTTACGGTATTTTTCTTCCCACTATGTGTTCAGGTTGTTGTCCCTCATGTTCCAGGATGTCTGTCTCCCTGTCTCTGGCTTTTCCCAGTGATGCCCGTCTCCTGGTCAGTATTGTCTGCCCTCCCTGTTCGGTTGATGAAGCCTCCTGCGGTTTCTTGACTCCCTTGAGAAGACAGACAGACAGACAGACAGACTGACACAGACAGTGTGGGTTAGGTCCGTGTCTGCTCTGCTCAGTGCACCAGATTAGGACTCACTCACACCCCCGAGTGTCAGCGCAGAGTCGCAGCGAGTCCTGGATTGACCGCAGTGTGGGAACTCCTCACATCTCGAAGTCCTCTCCTTTCCCTCAGTTCCTGCCTCTGCTGATGCGGTTTCTCCTCCCAGACCTGCGGATCCTCCGCTGATTGATCAGATTCTGCAACATAATGCAGCCCACAACCCTCCCGAGGTTGGGACAGACCCCAGTCTCCCTCATGTGATTCGCACTCAAAATCCCTCCCACCTCAGGATGGGAAGCTTCACGCCAGACATCGATCGATCGCTGGGAGTGAGGGAGGGAGGGAGGGAGTGAGGGAGGGAGGGCGGCTCTGGGGATGGTGCAATCCCGTCGTCAGTGGCGCAAGTGAAAATGCTCTATCAGACCCGCAGTAATGTCACTTTTAATGGACCCTCTCTGACTTGTCCCGTGGCTGGTGCTGTATCCCTGGCTCCGCAGGCTTGCAGGGGAGAAATTTCACCCGAATCTAGTATTTACTTGATTGGAGTCCCGTAGCGTAAGTGGTCAGCGTGCTCGCCCCGGCAGCGAAGGGACCAGGGTTGGATTGCCGGGAGGGGAGAAACGTTAGGCAAGTTTCCTTACTCCGCACGCCTCTGGTTACCGAGCATTAAATAGGATCACAGGTTGTTAGTCGATTGGCGGATCGCTTTCCGCGGTAATAATCCCTCCAAAAAAAAAGTAGTCATTCAATCCATAACTGTTTGCGGGACACTGTTGTGTGCAATTGCCTGCCTTGTTTCTTCCCCACATCCCATCCACACCTGGACACCCCAGAGATAGATTGTCGGACTGGAATGCGCTCTCTCTCCCCCATCCCCCTCTCTCTCCCTGGAGGGATGCCCCCTGCTTACTGAATTCCAGAGAGTATTAGGTGCAGGTTGGTGAGAGCCAAGGCTTGGAGGGGAAGGGGGAGTCCAGAGTGTGTGTGGGGAACTGCTGGGCTCTAACAAAGTGTGTGGAGTCCTGTAGCTCAGTAGTTAGAGCACTCGCCTTGCAAGCGAGACACCTGGGTTCAATTCCAGGCAGGTCGAAACCTTTGGCAAGTTTCCTTACTCCACACGCCTAATAATAATCCCTCCAAAACAAAACAATAATAAATTGGTCATTTTCAATCCACGACTGTTTGTGGGACACTGCTGTGCGCAATTGGCTGCCGCGTTTCACCCACAAATATACAGTCAATTCACTTTGCAACATAATCTGTGAAGCGCTTTGAGACGTCGAGAAGACGTGAAAAGCGCTCTATCAAATGCAAGGATTATTATTATTGTTTCCCCCACAAAATACACAGTCAATCTAGTTTTTAGTATATTCTGTGAAGCGCTTTGAGATGTTTCAATTACATGATAAGGTGCTATATCAAATCCAAGGATTATTATTACTCTATTAACATAGCATTTTAGTAAGTCTAGAATTTGGCAAATTGTGGTCTTCAACTTTGACTTTGTAGCTGTATTTTTGTAGTTCTCAAAATCAAGGCTGCGTATAAGAAATTGTCAAATTCTGGATCTGCTAAAATGTTATGTTAATGGATTAGATCCAGATCCAGGTAGAATTTTTTCCCTAGCCCATGATTTACCAGGAAATTGGGAACGAAAGGGACAAATTCCACAGCTGATTGAGCTGGAAATAACCAGGACCACAGGAGATAGACAACAAATTAATATATTCAACCACTATTACACTCCAATAAAGCATGAAATTTTGGCTCTATTTTCATAGGAATAGAAGCAAATAAATTATAGCATCAAAAGCCATTTGGCCCATCAAATCTAAATTGGCTTGTGCTAGCTATTTAGCTGGAGCCAGCTACTTTAATACAATTTATTGTTTTGTATTCTTCTTCTTTAAATGTTTATCCTGTTCCCATTTAAATTTTGTTATGGTCTCAGCTTGTAGCAAACCATTCCACATTTAAATAATCCTGAAAATGATATAGAAAATGTTTCTTCGGTCTGCCACCACTAATTCTCTCAGTTGACAATGCCGAGTTTATTACTACATACAAATTCTAGGCTAAAACTCCCTGTGTAGTCCTGGGAGAGCTCTGCACTGTCAAAGGTGCCATCCTTTGGATGAGATATTAAATAGAATCCGCCTGTTCAGGTGGATGCTGAAAATCCCATGCACTATGTGGAAAGGGAAGGGAGTGTCTGTCTACCAGTGGCCTGGCCAACAATCCTCCAGGTAAAATTGTTTATTCTCTTCATGGCTGTTTGTAGGACATTGCTGTGAACAATGCTGTTGCCTTCTAATGTCTTTGAGACATCTCAAAGCGTTTCACAATACATAGTCACTATACTTTCAGTAAAAGTCTTGAAGAACCTTGGTACATCTCGATGATGTGATAAGTGCTACGTGTCGTGCCAGGATTATTAATATAATAACCTCTTGTCCCTGATATAATTTGAGTTAACCCACATTAAACACTTTCCATTATTCTGATATCCTTTCTCCAATGGGGCATCCGGATCTGTACGTTGCACTCACAACTAGATCATCAAGTTGGCTGGTACATCACAGGCTATCCTGTAAATGTCCTCCCACTACACTGAAGATAGATGTCCATCAAATAGCTGATAAGAAAATTCTGAGGCTTGGACAACAGCTGCTTGAAGCCATTACCTGGAGTCCGAGTTTATCAACACACTTTCATTCCTTTCAGTGCCTTTGGAGCTCCATCCCACAGTCCCTTCACCTCATCCCTTCACTTGCTTCCTTCAAGTTCCATCTCAAAGCCCTCTTCAACCGTAATTTTGGGCGCCCTCCTACCACCTCACCCCTGCCTTCTAGTGCCCCCCGCCCTCTAACACCCCACCCCCACCCAATCCCAACCCCAGCTCGGATGCACATCCTTGACTGTCCAGCGCTTTGAGGGGCTACATGAAAGGGGCTATAGAAATGTAAGTTGTTGTTCATGTATGCAGGTCTTGGAATCCACCGATTGGTATGCAGAGAGGTAAGCAACTGCTACTCCATCTACACATCTCAACTGATGGAACCATTACTTAATGGCTAGGATGTGTGTGGTAATTATAATGATAATCCTTCCATTTGATAGAGTGCCTTCTAATGTCTTTGAGACATCACAAAGCGTTTCACAGAATATACTGTAAAGTGAATTGACAGTATATTTTGTGGTCGAAACGTGGAAGCCGTTTGCCTACAAATGTGAATTGAATTGAATTTTGAGATGGAATTGGGATGGAAGTTATGAATTGAGTGACCTAATTAAAAAATATATATTATTTATTTATTTTTTGAAGGGATTATTATCCCTGAGAAAGCGATTTGCAATCGACTAACAACCGGGTTCCTACATACTCCTAGGTAAACAGTGGCATGTGAAATAAGGAAACTTGCCTAACGTTTTGCTCTACTGGTAATCGAACCCAGATCCTCTCACTTGCGGGGCGAGTGCTCTAACCACTAAACTACAGGACTCCACAGACCCAGCTGGCTCTGGTTCCTGAGTCAGGTGGGTCTGTAGTGCCCTGGCAACTACTGATAACCGACCAGCTAACCTGCTCATTCGTATGACGTAAGACTTGGAAGGGCAGAGAGATTACTGGGGGTCGGGATTCTTCCCACTCAGTTCCTGTTTACCCTGCAAGCCCAAATCCTTATGGATAGGCTGGTCCTGGCTGGACAAGCAACAGGAAGATTGCCAAACACTACTTTCAATGGCAAGCTATGCAGTGTTAGTTGGTTAACGTCCACCAGTACCCTAATGCACACAAAACTGGGGTGCCCAAGTCTTGGATTTTGACAATCTGCACCTAACACTGTATTCACCTAAATTAGGTAAAAAGGATTACCTTCCAGAGGGAGAGTGCACTTTCCAGTCCAAATACAGGAATTTCCATGTGCAGTTGGGATGCATGGAACTCTCAGTTTGGTTTAGATACTCTTAAGCATGGTGATTGGTTTCCTTGTATGTCAGACACCTGGCTGAGCAAAAATAAGCTCTTAACTGAGCCTAACCAAGGTCTTGCATCAAGGACCTTGCTTCCTTGTTTTTGTATTTGAAAAGGGATCTATTGTATGGTTTCCCTGCTTGCTTACAGTGATAATTGTGTAAATTGAGCTTCATATACATGTTATTTTCTGGCCTTCCACTGCAAGTGTTATTTTTAGTAAGCATCAAAATTTGAGTGGCGGTACAGTGGTCTACAGTATATTTTCAACAACTGTCTAAAAGAGATGCTTACAGAAGTGTATAAGATATTAAATGGGTTGGAGAAAATAAAATCAGAACAACAGAGTCCAGGAAAATCAGTGCTTCAGTGTAGCCACATCAGCAATAACAGAATAGCCTGAGTTTCTATGCCAATGCTCACTATTGCCCTCCAGCAAGATAAAGGGCCTGTCTGAGTTCACATCCACAACAACAACAAAATTATATTTGTATAGTGCTTTTCATTTCGGGAGGACGTCCCAAGGTGCTGGGCAGACACAAGTTTCCAATCAGCACATCTGGAATGGCAGATGAAATGTATATAGTAGGAGAGGGAGGAGAAGCTTAATTTATGGCAAAATTAGGATTACTTTGATTTAGCTATGGCTAGATGTCTTAAATTCTTACATGGTGGTTTTCGTGGTTCTGAAATGGATGCTGTGTGGCTTGTAAAAACAATTCCTCTGGTTTGGGCTCTTTGTCATTTGAATCCTAATTATTAAGTCCCAAACAAAGTGTAAGGAAATAATCTGCTACTACGTATTATCCATCTTTAGTCTATGAGGCATTTCTTATTATATAAACAATCTTTAAATTCTGTTTGAAGTCTTTTAGGGCTCTTCAAATCTACCAATCAAGAAATATAAAAAATAAGCATTCTCTTGTGTGTTCTCTTCAGCAAAACATAAAGTATGTAAAGAGAAAAGTCCACTCATCCCATCAAGCCATATGTTTTCACAAACCACAGAAAAACTTTTCAGAGACTGCACCCAAGCAACTTACTGCGGTAGGAAAGTTCCATACAACTACTTCTCGATCCCCAAAGGTAATGAAACCAAACTCCTGAATATGCGTCCACTCCCACATCTCCAGTATTGAACGTTGGCCTGCATCCCTTCTCATACAATGGTGTTTAAGTTATCTTGATAGCTAAAATTAACAATATTTTTACCACACTTTTATAAAGGGATTGTAAATATGAAGCAAAATATCTTGTTTTTCAGGAAA